TCAACCTTTTTTTCCCAATAATAAAAGCTTGTTTATCTGGGTCATATGTCGATAAAATCCTGTGTATTAGGTGATCTGACTTTTTAACTGTACAGGGGGTGATTCTTTGACAAAGGATTGGTATGTAAAATTCACCAAATGGTGTTTGCCTTAAGGAGGTTAGATGATCTTCGGTAAGATGAACCTGATCACTAAAGTGAAAAAGTCTAGTGAAGCTTGACCTGTATTGAGGGTTCGATGGATTTTGATGTCGAATTTGTCGTATTCTTGCCTGTGTTGGCAGTAAATGTTCATCTGAATCCCTCTTTTTAGGTTTTGGTGTTTCTGGACGATCTGAGGAGGAGGAACAATGTATAACAATAAATAACGGAATTGAAAACAGATATGTAGTGTATAAAAAAAAAATGAATTGGATGGAAGAAAAAAATTACTTGCTATAGCTTTTGTCCTCATTTTTTCGTCACTGAAGCTGAAGCGACGATGGAGAGAAACACCAGATAAAAATCACTGTCAGATCCAGGAAAATAAGGTTAACCAGCTATTTCTCAAACAGGGGGTCTATGAAACACACAAAATTACTGTACTTAGGCAGTAAAATAAGGTTAACCAGCTATTTCTCAAACAGGGGGTCTATGCAACACACAAAATCACTGTACTTAGGCAGTAAAATAAGGAGAAACATCTATTTTCTCAAACAGGGGGTTATGCAAACACACAAAATCACTGTACTTAGGCAGTAAAATAAGGAGAAACAGCTATTTTCTCAAACAGGGGGTTATGCAAACACACAAAATCACTGTCAGATCCAGGAAAATAAGGAGAAACAGCTATCTATTTTCTCAAAATCACTGTCTACTTAGGCAGGAAAATAAGGAGAAACAGCTATTTTCTCAAAATCACTGTCATGCAAACACACAAAATCACTGTCTACTTAGGCAGGAAAATAAGGAGAAACAGCTATTTTCTCAAACAGGGGGTCTATGAAACACACAAAATCACTGTCAGATCCAGGAAAATAAGGAGAAACAGCTATTTTCTCAAAATCACTGTCATGCAAACACACAAAATCACTGTCTACTGAGGCAGGAAAATAAGGAGAAACAACTATTTTCTCAAAATCACTGTCATGCAAACACACAAAATCACTGTCTACTTAGGCAGGAAAATAAGGAGAAACAGCTATTTTCTCAAACATGGGGGTTATGCAAACACACAAAATCACTGTCAGATCCAGGAAAATAAGGAGAAACAGCTATTTTCTCAAAATCACTGTCTACTTAGGCAGGAAAATAAGGAGAAACAGCTATTTTCTCAAACATGGGGGTGATGCAAACACACAAAATCACTGCCAGATCCAGGAAAATAAGGAGAAATAGCAATTTTCTCAAAATCACTGTCATGCAAACACACAAAATCACTGTCTACTTAGGCAGGAAAATAAGGAGAAACAGCTATTTCTCAAACAGGGGGTCTATGAAACACACAAAATCACTGTCAGATCCAGGAAAATAAGGAGAAACAACAATTTTCTCAAAATCACTGTCATGCAAACACACAAAATCACTGTCTACTTAGGCAGGAAAATAAGGAGAAACAGCTATTTTCTCAAACAGGGGGTCTATGAAACACACAAAATCACTGTCAGATCCAGGAAAATAAGGCACATAATAACATTTATGTTCAAACATGGGGTTGTGTATAACAAAATCACTGTCAAATTCCAAAAAATAAGGCACATAAATCATTGTTAGATGCATGCAGGCAAAATTACTGCCAATGCAGAAAATTGAGCCATAATAATGAAAAAACATACACAATAGCAAGATTAATGTCATAAAACACACATTTGTATATGATATTGTTAGAAAAAACTCACAGAGTTCGTACGATTAGGGTTTCGCAGAGTTCAACTGTTTTTTTTTTTGGGATTTGACAGTAACTTCGAAAGATGTAGCCGAAATCGTAGAACAATCAACAAGATGAGAGTATGTTTTCGAAAATCGGAGTGATTTTTTACAATTTCCGGCGAAAATCGTTCCCACAGCAGCAGCGGTTTTGGTGAAGAAAAACTGTGCAAAAATCGCAGCAGTTTGTGTATGGAGTTTGTATTCGCAGAAACTAAAAGAGAGGGGAGGGATCTGTATTTTTTCACTATTTAAGGGAGGGTATTTTCGGAAAGTGGAAGCAGATGGGCTTTTTTGTAGAACTGTTTTTTGTCTGGATTTAAATGCAAATAAGTACCACTCAATGGGCTTATTTGCCATTTGCCCAATTAATTAATCAGATTATACATATAATTTTCAAATGATTATTTCGTTGGGTATATCTCCGAAGAGTAGATTTCAGTCGAACATTGAAATTATGAGCAACTCAATTTCCGAATCGCCTAATGAGCTTTATTCCCAGCTTTATTAATATTTAATTAATTAATATTATTAAAAAGCGTGCTGAAAAAAGAACGAGTCGAGAGAGCGTGGGACTTTGGGAAGTGTTATTCCTGGATTTTCGATCCCTATATTTTGGACCATTCCAATATCTTTTATTATTATTATTATTATTATTATTATTATTATTATTATTATTATTATTATTATTATTATTATTATTATTATTATTATTATTATTATTATTATTATTATTATTATTATTATTATTATTATTATTATTATTATTAGAGTAAACTGCAAATACTACCCCTGTGTTATCTTGAAATAGCGAAAACCCCCCTGTGATAAATAAACTAGCAAAAATCCCCCTGTGAAATTTAGTCAAAGGCAAAATCCCCCCTAGCTGATTTTTTAGACTTGAAATGACAAAATTGTCCCTCAAAATGTATTTATATATATACATATTTTATGCATATTTATTATTTTTAATTTGTTTGTTTAGAAATTAAAAAAAAATAGTAAACAACTAAATTGATTATTTTTTAAATAAAATAATTAAAATATTTATAAAATATAAGAATTTATTAATTGCAAGACTCCAGGGGTATTTGTGTCTTTTTATATCAAGTCAACCCTCAAATAGTTCCATAGGGGGGTTTTTGCTATTTAAATAATTTCACGGGGGAGGTTTTTGCTAGTTTATTTATCACAGGGGGGTTTTTGCTATTTCGAGATTACACAGGGATAGTTTTTGCAGTTTACTCTTATTATTATTATTATTATTATTTATTATTTATTATTACTATATAGTATTAAATTTTCTGGAGGAACAACGGCGGTCCTGGAGGAAGATTGGTAATATCCGGTGGCTCAGCCGCCGGTGAAACATGCATGACGGCGGGATTTGTTAATAATCATAATAATCATTATTTCAAATCGAAACTCGTGTTAACTTTGATTTCAAACATAGAATACATAATAACCTTGATTGATGAATTAATCAGTTCGGCCCACGACTAATTGTTATTGGCCCATTTTTATTCTGTTCGGCCCGAATTCCGATTTCTTGGGCCGAAACAGATTCCCAAGTTATTTGACAAGCCTAGGCTAAATAAGGTTTACTTACACTTTGCAGTTTGCACCCCTTGAAATGTAGTATATTGGCACTTTACACCCTCAAAATAATTAATAGCACTTTGTACAAACAAAACAAAATAAATTATTTTCAGAGTGCGAAAATAACAAATTAAATTGTTATTTTCTTCTATATCCAACATAATTCGAGCATACAGAATGCAAAAAGAAAAAAATCGCAACAAATTATTGAAAAAAAATACAATTTCTTACAATAATAAAATTTTCTCACTAAATTATTCGATAATATTTTATTGAAATTAGTGAAAATATTTGGAAAAATATAATTTTCAAATTAGTTGATAACAAAATAGCTGAAGAATTATTATTACTTTTCTTTTTTTTTTTTTGTGAATTAAAAAAAAAAAAATTTATGAGATTAATTTTTATTTTGCACTTTGTATTTTCAAAAGAATTGATGAATATTAAAAAAAAAAAACAAATGATTTGACATTTGGCATCCCTAAAAGTACGACTAAAAATATTACCTTCATTCAGGGGGCAATATGCATGATTTACAGTACTTTGAGGGTGATGAGTGCTATTAATTATTTTTTAGGGTGCGAAGTGCCAAATATTCTATATTTGAAGGCTGCAAAAGTGGAATTAAGCTGCTAAATAAATATTAGGATAAATTCCACTTTACCCCTTGTACTTTGGCTGAATATCACTTTACCACCTTGTATTCTCAATTGCATCGATTTGCCCTCATGTACTTTGGTTCGATATCACTTTACCCCTTTCTACTCTCAATTCATCCATTTGCCCCCTTGTAGTTTGGCTCGATATCACTTTACCCCCTTCTACTCTCAATTGCATTGATTTCCCCCCCTGTACTTGAAAAATTATCTCAATGTGACCCCTTGCCGTTAGTTTTCAGACCTTTGACATTAACACCGTTTGATCTAAGTTTGAAAATTACAAAAAAGCCACCCCTCCTAGTTTAAATAATTATTAATAAAATAAAAAAATAAAAAAATTGTGGCTGGCGTCGTGGACTATGTTTTCTCGCTGTCTTGAATTTTTTATTATTTTATTTTTTGTTGTTTTTTATTTTTTATTTTCTTTTATTTTTTTAATAATTATTTAAACTGGAGGGGTGGCATTTTAGTAATTTTCATACTTAAATCAAACGGTGTTAACGTCAAATGTCTGAAAACTAACGGCGAGGGCCACATTAAGACAATTTTTCAAGTAGGGAGGCAAATCGATGCAATTGAGAGTAGAAGGGGGTAAAGTGATATCGAGCCAAACTACAAGGGTGCAAATCGATGAATTGAGAGTAGAAGGGGGTAAAGTGATATCGAACCAATGTACAAGGGGGCAAATCGATGCAATTGAGATTAGACGGGGGTAAAGTGATATCCAGCCAAAGTACGAGGGGTAAAGTGGAGTTTACCCTAAATATTATACAATTTTTTTATTTAATTTCATATATCCGCAAAAGCCTCGCGATTCTTAGATCACCGACGGCACCGGAGGAGAATCACCACATCGCCGCCACCAATCCACTCCAACAGGTTATCATCAACTTAATCAAACTTTACGAATTCCAAGGGTTGGGAGAAGAGTTTTTGTTTAATTGGGTTTAATTAACATTAGTCGTTTGTAACCCTAACTCCACTTGGAAAAAATCCTAGAAAAATATCTGCTTTTTTTTTTTTTTTTTTCTCTGTATCTCTCTGTATGTATAATTGCATCTATGGAGTCCGTTGGTGCATAATTTTGATTATGATGAGAATGAGTTGAATCTGTTGCAACTGCATTAGTTTGAAAGAATATTTTCTGCAATAAGATTGTCAAGTCGAAACTAGGCCAATCGAATGAGGGATCAAGTGTCGAATGATGTTGCGTATATGTTAGCCGATATTATTATCGATAAGGTAATGAATGTTTTCTAAAAAAAATTTACCAAGTCGAAAGATAATTCGAAAAAATTATATTTGTATATAAAAAAAAGGTACAATTTGTTTTCATGTTTATTGTTTTATATACTTTCTTTTGTATTAAATTTAAAAAACTGGACCAAAATCCTGAATTTGTGTTATGTGTATATGCGTATGCAAAGAGTCGGATTCTCAAGAGTCCATTAGTATTGAAGTTCTGTACTAATGGAGCCGTAATCGATCCTTTTTTTCTTTTTTTTTTTTGTCAAGTGCAGTGTACATCTAGGTCGTCTTCCAACCGAAGAACTTCGTTTTCGTTTCCTTTTTGTTATGGAGAGGGAAGAAGAGCAAACGAGAAAGCGCCATAAGTGTTCGAATGGTGAACAGAACGCACTCTCAGTTGACAGGCTTAGCGATTTGCCGGACCCACTCATCTGTCACATTCTCTCGTTTCTCCCGACCAAATCCTCCGTAAGAACCAGCGTTCTAGGTCAAAGATGGAGGCATCTCTGGACCTACGTCCCCGAGCTAGATTTCAGCCGTGCAAATGAAGACTTCATCGACAAGGTCATGTCGCTACATCGGATTCCAGATATTATCACTTTCCGCCTCAAAGAATTGATGGCAGAGTGCAACGGCAATCAAATCGAGAGATGGATTAGCTTTGCCATCGAGCGCAATGTGCAAAACCTCGAGCTTTATTACCCCCCCAAAAACGTATTGCCTCAATGCCTCTTCACCTGCCAAACCCTAGTCGATTTGAGGATCTATATGTGCGGTACCATAATCGTGGGAGGCACCGTTTTTCTGCCTCGCCTGAAGAAGCTTAGTTTAATCCATGTTAGATTCGATGCCGACGAGTCACTGCCACACCTCCTTTCTGGCTGCCCAGTGCTCGAGGATTTGGTCGTCGAATCATTGTGTTTGGTTTATTTTAATATATCTTCACCCACGTTAAAGAGTCTTTGCTTTAAGTCAGACGGTTACAGATTCAACAACATTGACGACAGGCTGGCGATAAATACCCCAGCACTTAGATATCTCAAGATCGATGATTGCTTATCAAACCATATCGAAACCGGGCCACTAACTTCCTTACTTGAAGCAGATATCAAACTTCACAACCATAAGAAGAAACAAAACGATTTGGTTTATTCTCGTTCAGCTTTGGAGTTTATTGATAGTCTCCGACACACCAAGTGCCTAACATTAAATCTAGCATTCAATGCAAAAGTATGTATGTATATCTGTATGTACGTGTATCCAATCTTTCGTCACCTCACTGGGCTCTGTTTTGTAACAAGTAATTCTCCGCCTTTCGTTGCAGATTGTGAACTCGGTATTCTCTTCTTCAGCTATAAGTTTCCATAACTTAAACAAACTCGAATTGTTTGCGGATTTCTGCGTTCTATCTAAATTCCTCGAAAATGCCGATAATCTCGAAATCCTTATTTATTGGGAGGTTTGTTGACGCAACCGAAATTCTTTGTTTTTTGATTGTTGTGATGTGTATATATATGTTGATATGTATATGTATATGTCAGATTAGCAACGGGTCGACAAGACAGAGGATGGAACCACCGGAACAAGTGCCGACATGCGTATCATCACGTCTTAGAGCCGTAAAGCTTATTCACATTAGTGGTGAAGAGAAGGAGTTGGAGATGATCGGATATCTTATGAGGAACGGTAAAGTGTTGGAGAGGATGGAAATAGCGTATGCCCGATTCCTTGATTTCAGGAAAACGGATCACATGCACCGTGAAATCTCGCAGTTTGAACGAGGATCAAAGGCATGTGAAGTTGCCTTTTCAACTTGGTAAGGCGCTGCGTAATCGTAAGTCGAAAAGTCTATTTATATTTTATATTGATATTGAACAAACAGTACTGTTGCCTTTTGCACTCTGGCCTTTTGTCAAGTGTTTTAACACTATCAGATCTTTATGTTTGTGACCTTAAATATTACCATCTTTGTTTTCAATTTTTTCAATGGTGAGAAGTTGTTTGTTATTTGCTAACATTGATAAAGTTTTCTCACCCTGCATATATCATTATATTAATTGTAAAAATATATGCAAGGTATTAATTTTTAAATAATTGAATATATATAATATAAGGGTCCATTTGGATGGAGGGATTTGGAGTGGGATTTGATTTGGGGAAGGGATTTCAACTGACTCCAATTTGAAGTCATTTGAAATCTACCCAGTTATTCAAAAAACAACTAAAAAGGAGGGGTGTGAATTTGAAATTCATTCCGAAATCTCTCAGTCCAATTTGAAATTCCTCCATCCAAATGCACCCTAAGTTTATATTCAAATAATAGAAGGCCTGTTTATTTAGAGTTCTTTCATACAGTACTAAACTGTTCAGAAAGAATAGATCTGTAGTTCTAGGGGTGTTCACTTGGTCGGAAAAGCAATCGAACCGAACCGACAATTTAGAACGTGCCAACTACCGAACCGAAAATGTATTCGTTTAATATTTTTGGGATTCTGGTATTATTGAAACATGAGGGATTAAATATGGAATCGGTGCAAACTTGAGGGATGGAAACTATAATTTTGTATTTAATTACTATTTATATAATAAATATTGATTAAAAAAATTTGAATTATGGGAAAACAAAATTGATAGAAAAGGCGCTATTTCAAGACTCGAAGTTCTGAACTATGGGATCATTCGAATGCATCTTAATTCTTAAACACTATAAATGAAATCAAATTCTTAATTTCTATTTATTTATACAATAATATGAATAATGTTCACAAAATTAATTGATTTTTGGAGGCTTATGAGTTATGTCGGATTATTTATGTGCGTGCCTAAATAGTAAATATAATAATAATCTTGGGAGTTTTTTTTATAGTCGAAAGTTAAGTAGGGGCTAATTTGAAATATTTAAAAGACTCGCAACTCTTCCCATATATATTACTGAAGTCCCCTCGAGAGACGACAAATAAATCTCACGGTTCTCTGCTCGTCACCGCCGCCATCGGAGAAAAAACACCACGTCGCCGCCACCAGTACACTTCAACAGTTTATCAAATTAATCAAAACATACGAATTCCAACGGTTGGGAAAAGGTTTTTTTTTTTTTTTTTTTTTTTTTTTTTGTTTCATTAGGTTTAATTAACACTAGTCGCTTCGTTATCACATTGGTCGTGTAATTTGTAACCCCATCTCCACGTAGAAACATTCGTAGAAACTCTCTCTCTCTCTCTCTCTCTCTCTCTATATATATATATATATATATATATATATATATATATATATATATATATATATATATATATATATATATATATATATATATATATATAATTGCATTTGGGGAGTCAGTTGGTGGCTTGGTGCATAATTTTGATTAAGATGAGAATGAGGTGAATATGTTTGAACAGCATAAGTTGAAAGAATATTTTCTGCAATAAGAATGAGGGATTCAAGTGTCGAATGATGTTGGTGTTGTACATTGAAACGAGTATGTTAGACAATGCTGGTATCGATGAACTAATGAATGTTCTCCAAAAAAAAAAAGGAACCACGCCGAAAGATATTTCTATTTATATTCGTATGTAAAAAAGGGACAATTTTATTTTCTTTCATGTTTATTGTTTTATTTAGTTATATATGCGTATGCTCAAGAGTCCATTAGTATTGAATATTGTAGGATCAGATGCAACATTATATAAGCTTTCTTTAAAAGGTGCCGTAATTGATTTTTTGTTTTCTTTTTTCAGTGTAGTATATATCCTGGTTCCAACACAAAAACTTCGTTTTAGTTTCCTTTTCGTTATGGAGAGGACAGAAGAGCACACGAGAAGGCGCTCAATTGATAGGCTCAGCGATTTGCCGGACGCAATCCTCTGTCACATCCTCTCTTTTCTCCCAACTCAGAAATCCATTTCAACAAGCGTTCTCGCTAGAAGATGGAGGTATCTCTGGGCTTATGTCCCCACTTTAGATTTCCGCCACGAGAATCAAGAAATCATCGAAAGGGTTATGATTTTGCATAAAGTGCAAACCATTAGTACTTTTCGCCTCTTCCACTACTCTGACTGCAGCAACTATCGACTGGAGACATGGATTACCTTTGCCATAGCGCGCAACGTGCAGAAGCTTCAACTTCTTTTCCATCTAACCAAATCCGCTTTGCCTCGATGCCTCTTCACATGCAAAACCCTTGTTGATTTGAGGCTCAACTATTTCGGAATCATACCCATGAGCTGCCCCGTGTGTTTGCCTCGCCTCAAGATTCTCCATCTGATCTGCGTTCAATACGAGGCCGATGAGGCCCTCCCTCGCCTGCTCGCCAGCTGTCCAGTGCTCGAGGAGTTGGAAATCGAATCATGCATGGATTCGTTTTCTTCTAAAATATCTTCACCCACAATCAAGAGGCTCACCCTCAGTTTTCCGGCCCCTGACAGAAGCAATAACTGCTACACGCTAGAGATAAATACTCCCGCACTTGTTTATCTCCGGTTAGTTGCTGGTGTGCACGATCATATCAAATCTGGGGCACTGACCTCCTTAATTGAAGCGGATATCCATTTTTACAAGGTTCACAAACAACGCGGTTTTGATCGTTTTCGATATGTGCCGGAATTCATCAATAGGCTCTGCAGTGTGAAGTTTCTCAAATTAAATTTAGCATATTATAAGAAGGTTATGCATCATCTCAATTGTGCATGCATTTTCTTTACTGATGGTATTTAGTAAGTGTGATCTTATTATAGCGTCTCAATTGTTGCCGTGCATTTTATTTGCAGACCGTGGATTCTAAATTCTCTTTGTGGACCACGAGTAATTTTCGTAACTTAACGAAACTTGAATTGACTGCTCATTGCCGTTTTCTTTCCGAGTTCCTCGCAAATGCTGATAATCTTGAAATCCTTATTTTCCAGGAGGTTTGAAATTTTGATGATGCAATATGCAAAGTTCTTAGTTGTCCTGTTTTACGTCTTCTTTTCTCTTCTCTTGACATAATCGAGATCCCTTTCTTTTTGTTGTTGTTGTTGTTGTTGTCATCAGTTCTATAAAGAAGGAGGCTGGATCGAACCACCGCAACGAATGGCGACATGCATATTATCACATCTTAGAGTAATAAAGCTCGTCAACGTCAAAGGTAAAACGCAGGACTTTGAAATTATAAGATATCTTTTGAAGAATGCTAAACTGTTGGAGAGGATCGAAATATCACATCCCGTATACCGTGATACCAAGAAAAGGGCTCGTTTGGTTGGTAGAATTGGACTGTTTGAACGAGGATCCAAGGCATATGAAATTGCCTTTGTGCCTATTAATCGCGACGGGGCTGCATCGTCACAAATTCTGAAGTATAGACGTCTAAATTGAACTAACAAACTTGTTGCAGAATTGCTTTAGTCATCTTTACTTCCAATTTATGTTTTCTATAATGTGATGAAAATACTATCTCTGCACATCTTTGTTTCCTTAATTGAGGCAGATATCTATTTTCCCCAATTATATCAAGATACAAGTTTGATTGAGAGAGAGAGAGAGAAAAAAAGTTTTATGGGTAACCGAGGTACGGTCAATTTACGAAAAAATCATTGTTTGGATAATTACACCCATCTCTTAACTATAATTTTTTCTTACACCTCCACCCTTATGGTGTCAAATTCAACATAAATATCTAAATTTCGTGGAATGTGCTATAGTTTGTACTCGTTTTGTGTAAAAATACAGTTTCTGATGCACCACAATCTGATATATATAAGCCACAAAACATATAATATGATCATCTTGCTTCAAAATGTGGAGTTCGAATGAGATAAATCAGGTACAAAAGTGATAATATTCCATATAATCTCGAAGATTCCATTCAATTCGAAACCGCAAGGGTGGACGTGCAAGAAGATTTATAGTTGATGGGTGGTTGTAATTATCCAAACAGGAGGGGGGTTTTCTTAAATTGACCATACCTCAGGGAATGGTTGTAATTTACCCTACTTTTATTTAGAGTACTTTCATATAGTAAACTGTTCGGGAAGAATAGATCTCTAGTTCTAGGGGTGTTCACTTGGCCTAAGGGTGTTCACTTGGTTGGTAAACTGATCGAACCGAATTGAACCTACAATTTAGTACGCGCCAAATACCAAACCGAAAATCTATTCGTTAAATATTTTTCGGAATTCCGGTATTCCATATGGTATATATTGATGCTCGGTACTGAATAACAAAATATTTAATAAATATTTCTTTTTTCTTTTATTTTAAATTCTTTAAGGTTATAACAAATTATAAAATACTTTTAGATTGATAATTTTTTTAATTATTTACATGTTAGCAATTATTGATAATCATTTTTTGTAATTATGTCCGATTATTGAAATTTGATTTCATTTTCAAGAATTAATTTGTTTAAATATCTTGAGGGGGCATATATGTAATTTTACAAACAATATGATAGTTTTTGTAATATATAGTGGACATAATGAATGGACTTATTTGTAATTTCAATTTTCTAATTTTTTCCTTTCTTTTTATTTATGCAAAATATAGACATTCTGCAGCCTCAAATTGTATGTCGTTGACACTTTGTACCCTTAATTTAAAAATAAAATAGCAAAATGCACCCTTCAATTACCAATTCCTTGGCAAATTGCACCCCAGTTCACCTTTTGGTTATGACCTGGTACTTGTTATAATGCGAGATTGAAAAAGGGGCATATTTGTCTTCCTTTTATTACTCGTTCAAAATTAAAAATCATCGACGTTTGGAACGGCAAAAGTAGTAACCAGTCACTTTTTTGGGTAAAATGTAATTAGGATGCACTTTGCCAAACAAGTTGTAATTGAAGGATGCATTCTGCTATTTTTTTCAATTTAAAGGTGCAAAGTGCCAATGAGATGTAATTTGAGGGTGCAATTATGCTAGAATTTTTTGATGGATTGTCTAAGTTTGGGGACCATTGCAAGTTCGCAAACATTAATTGTTTTTAAATAATTTAGTCATATTTTGTTAGGGGCTGTTTACTATTGATATTTGAGGGGACGATATTTAGAAACATGCTAAAACTTTGTACTCGTTTCATTTTATTTAATGTTCTATATTCATAGAACCACAAACGTTTCTTGTTTATTCATGTACTGCAAATATTGCCTTCTCAGTTCTCGCTACAAATATTCAAGGTGTACTCGTAGCATTAAGTTCAAAGTACGGCCGACTAAAGAGGCGCGCAGTCTCGATTAATTGAATGTTGCGTTGGATGTATGCGTGAGATACGAGGAGCCTTTATTTTAGTGAGGAATCAAACCGAAATCCCTGGCCAGTTGGTTTATATATAAATTGACCGTCTTGATTTCCTTTAATTTCTCATATATATATACTTTGTTCTTCTGTGAACACAGAATCTCCTTTCCCCCATTTGGATATGGAGAGTGTGCTCTCAACTGATAGGTTTAGCGATTTGCCGGACTCAGTCATAACTCACATCCTCTCTTTTCTCCGCACGAAGGTCTCCGTAAGAACCAGCATTTTAGCTAGAAGATGGAGGTATCTCTGGTCTTATGTCCCCACATTAAATTTCAAATTCAGTGTATATGAAGTAACTCACTGTGTGAATCAAGACACTCTCAATAGGGTTATGTTACAATATAAAGCGGAAATCATGAATAGTTTTTCCCTATATTGTGAGTTTAACACCAGCGCCTATCAACTCGAGACATGGGTCATCTTTGCCGTTAAGCGCCATGTGCAAAAACTTAATCGTAGTTTTAGTTTTGGAGTTGATTTGCCTCCATGCATCTTCACATGCAAAACCCTAGTTGATTTGCGTGTCGATTTTAATGGAGTCACCCCCCCTACGAGTGGCCCCGTGTGCTTGCCTTGCCTTAAGAAGCTTCACCTATGCTGCAGTAGTCAATACGAGCCCGACGAGTACCTTCCCCACATTCTTTCAGGCTGCCCAGTGCTTGAAGAGTTGACAATTAATATATTCACAGTATTCGTTTCGTGCACTATATCTTCACCAATAATAAAGAGTCTCACGGTAGATTTTGATTATAAGACCAGCTCCAAATCTAATTACAATCATGACTACAAGCTGGTGATAAATACTCCAGCGCTTACGTATCTAAATGTGGTTGATTGGTCGTGTCAGAGTATCAAATCTGGTTCGCTAACCTCCTTAATTGAAGCAGATATCGAACTTCAAAATAGTGACGAGATGCATGATCATTTTCTTTACTCGCGATCACTTGTGGAATTTATTGACATGCTCCGCAATGTCAAGCGCCTAAGATTAAACTTACAATGTTATCCAGAGGTTCTGTCTTCATCTCATTGAGCGTTTTTTTTTCTTTTTTTTTTTTTTTTACTGTTAATTAGCAAGTAATCTTATACTGTATTTGAATTTTTCTGCAGATTATTAGTTCAGTATTCTCTGCATCGATGGCTATAAGATTTCGTAACTTGATCAAACTCGAATTGACTGGTCATTCTTGGTTTCTCTCAAAATTCCTTCAGAATGCTGATAATCTCGAAATCCTTATTCTCAAGGAGGTTTGTTGATCAAATGAAGTTTTTAGCTTTCACTTTTATATCTTCTTTACTTTCGTTGATAAGCAGTTTCTTCCTTTCAGGTTGGTGAAGGAACAAAAGCCTGGAACTGGATAGAACCCGAGCAAGTGCCAACGTGCCTATTATCACATCTTAGAATTATAAGGCTGTGTGGAGATGTAGAGTCGGAGCTCGTGTTTAATATTGTAAGGTATATTTTAAAGAATGGAAAAGTCATGGAGAGGATTGAAATACCATATGGCAGACTCTCACTTTCACTCTCACACTGTACTCCGAAGCAAAAGATTAACATGTTCGAAAAGATTTCACAGTTTAGAGAAAGGTCCAGCGCATGTGAAGTTGCGTTAATTAGTTAGGTTTGTTTGATATATAGGCAGGTATATATGCTTAATAGTGCATAATCTTGACGTCTATATTCAACAAACACCCGATGCTTCAACATTGACTTGTGCATTCGGACCTTTGCAATGATTTTGATGTACAACGTACACTCTCTTTAATTACTTTGAAATATTGTCTGAAGAACGGGTGAATATGGAAAAAAGATATGTTTACAGATTGTTAAATTAATTCGAAGCAGATATCTAGTTTCACAATGATGAAAAGAAGACGATGATTTTATCTATTTCCGTTACTGTACAAAAATTTGGTATTCGATCTATCGCCAGCTCATTGTGCATAACTGCATATATTATATATCTAAAGTAATTTGCTTGAATGTGCATATATTTGTTTGAAGATTATTGACTCAAGGGTTTTTGGTGTGGAATTTCAATCATAATTGGAATTATTAAAAGTTGGAATTAGATTTGAAATGATGAGTTAGACTTAGGAGTGAAAAACTCAGATCGGATGGATATGATCTGCATTAGTATTTTCGTAAAAGAATTACAAAAAATGGAAATTAGAACTTCAGTTATGGAATGAAAAAACTTGTTCAAAAATCAAAAATTTCGGATTGAAATTAGCGGGATTCAAAGATCCTATTTTTATTCACTTATAATATACTACAGCATATGATAATAATGATGTTGTAAATATAATTTTTGAAATTTTTAGATTATTTTTGAAAAATTAGAACTGAATCTAACATGGAAATCTCATATGTAAATCCAACAAAGTTGAAAAAAATATTCTTAAAAATAATAAAATAATTTTAATGGACATGGATGAAAAATAAGATATTCTTTTCCCATTACAAAAATTAATAATCAAATAAATTTTTGCTAATCAAGTAATCAGTATTATAATAATAATTTATCCTTCAATTCTCAAACTAAAAACCCTAACCCTAAACCTGAATAAACCGTCGCCTCCTTTCCTTTCCATTCTGTTCGGAAAAAAACGAAACAACAACACGAACAGCAGCAGATGACAACCCGCCGGAAGTTTTCCTCCGGCGAACACAATCCGGCCACGATCGACGGCATCAGCCTCTTGCCGGACACAATCCTCTGCCACATCCTCTCTTTCCTCCCGACCAAATCCTCCGTAAGAACCAGCGCTCTCTCCAAAAGATGGCTCTCTCTCTGGTCATACGTCCCCAATTTAGATTTCGAATCAGAACATCAAGACATAATCAACAGAGTTACGCTGCTGCACAAAGCCCTAACCATAAACACATTTAGCCTAATTCAAAAGAACGACAGCTCACTCATCAACGAAAACGAGTACCAATTAGAGACGTGGATTATGTTCGCCGTTGCGCGCAACGTCAAAAATCTCCACCTTTCTGTCGTTTCCAATGTGTTCTTGCCTCGCCGCCTCTTCACCTGCGAAACCCTAGTTAATTTGAGGCTCGACGATTGCGGTGTGGTCCCCAATATAGGCGGCGGTGGAGTGCGCTTGCCTCGCCTTAAGAAGCTTCATCTAACTTATGTACTCTACGAAGGTGACGAGTCCATATCGAACCTGCTTTCCGGTTGTCCGGTGCTTGAAGAGTTGGTTATGGAGTTAATCTGGGGTTTGGTTCGCTGTAACGTAACTTCACCCTCGATCGAAAGGCTGACGCTCGATTTTCAGTCCAATGGCAAGGGTGGTATTGGCAACCGTGAATACTGGGTCGAGATAAATGCCCCTGCACTCAGATATCTCAAGATGACCAATTGTTACGCCCGGGATATCAAATGTGGGACGATGAACTCGTTAATTGAAGCGGATATTGATATCTACAATTACAACGATTTTCCTTATTCCCGATTTGAATTGGAATTTATTCATAGGCTTCGCAATGTCGAGTGCCTGCATTTGGATTTAGCACATTGTACAGGGGTATGTATGTATGTATGTATGCACGCGCGTATTCGATCTTTCGTTTTTCTTTAGTGATGGTAATATCTAATACTGTCTGTTTGTATGTATGTGCATTGCTTTGCAGATTATTGATTCACTCTCTGTTTGGGCTATAAGTTTTCATAACTTAACCAAACTCGAACTGACTGCTGATTGTCCTTTTCTCTCAAAGTTTCTCGAAAGTGCTGATAATCTTCAAATCCTTATTTTCTCCGAGGTTAGTTACGTTGATGCCATTAAAAAAAATCAGCTTTAACTTTTTGTGTACTATAAACCCCTATTGTTTCTTTTGTTTTTGTTGGTATCATCAGTTTTACGAAGAAATAGAATGCTGGATGGAACCCCAACAAGTGCCGAAATGCCTATCGTCACATCTTAGATTTGTAAGGCTTTCTGGCGTCGGAGGTAAACAACACGAGTATGAATATATACAATATCTTTTAAGGAATGCGAATGTTTTGGAGAGGATGGAAATATCGCCTTGCAAATCCATTGGTTTTGGGGATAAGTTTTATATGCTCCAGAAAATCTCAATGTTTCGACGAGGATCCGATGCTTGTGAAGTTGCGTTTGATCTGGTGCAGTGAAAAGAATTCTTGCATCCTTCTCTCTCTTTTTTTTCTTTTTGTTGAGAGGTGGGTGCAATATGTCATCGTTAACTCAAGAGCTTAATGCAAGGATGATACTTGTTGTTTCCACTCCAAACAAATTTGATGTTTTCTTGTTAGAATTTATAATGGGAAAATTTTCAGTTTTCATCCCTCAAGTTTGAACCGATTTCACGTTTGGTTCCTCTTATTCATAAAAAATACATTTGGTCCCTCATGTTTCAATAATTGAACAATTTTGGTCATTTTCATAATTATTACCGTTAGTCCGTTAATAAATTTTTTTTCAATTTTTTTTTTCTTTTTTTTTTTCTTTTTTTGGGGGACTTTTTTTGTTCTGCAATTTTTTTTCCGGCCGGTCAATCGCTGTTGATTTTTTTTTTCTTTTCGAAAATTTGTTTTTTTCTTAGAAAATAATTATTTTAATTAATATGTCTTGACTTTTAAATTACTGTCTCAGACAATAATATTGTTGTTTGGGACAGTAATAATATGAATATTATTTTCCCGAACAATAAAATTACTAATACTACTGTTCCAAACATTAATATTATTGCATAAGACATTAATATTACAGTCGAAGATAGCAAAATTGCAGGCCAAGACGATAAAGTTAATTAATACAGGAAAATTACTGTCTCGGATAGTTAAATTATTGTGACAGTAATTTCGCAGCGAATAAAGTAATATTAATTAAATAATTATTTTAAGAATTTTTTTTTCAAAAAATAAAAATAATTAAGTCAATTAACAGTTAAATTATTGTCTCCAACAGTTAAATTATTGTTGAAGATAGTAATTTAGCAGTCAAGATAGTAATATTAATTAAAATATTTTTTTTTGTTAATATTAATTAAAATATTTTTTTTTGTGACAGTTAAATAACTGCGGGAGACAGTAATTTAGCAGACAAGACAGCAATAAAAAGTCAACGCCGGAGACCGACGGTCTCCGCTGATGAGCTGGAAATATTTGAAAGACAAAAAAGTTGAATGTCTTTTTTATTTTATTTAAATGCCCTTGTTATGGGCCTCTTTGCCATTTACCCTAAAATATAATTATAATACCAAGTAAAGAGGAATTTCTAAAATATAATACTGATACAGAAAAGACGGAAGAAAAAAAACGGAAAAAAAAAAATAAAAAAAAAATCGCTGAGCGTGACCCAGTGATGATGTGGCGGGTGGGGGCAAAACTGGAAAGCATAATGGCTGAATTGGTGTGGATTTTTTTCAAATGGACTAAAATATTTTGGGCCTCCCTCAATTAAAAAAAAATGGTGAGGGAGTTTTCTCAAAGAGCCCCGAAATATTTATTATTAGATCCGCATATTTGTAGGCAATAATTTCAAAACAACTTCCTTAAATAAGACTCCTAATAGACTTCAAAGAAGAAACAAAACCCTAAAATCGATTTGGGGAAAAGCAAAACCCTACATTCACCGCCTATATAAAGCAGAACCCTAAAATCCTTTCTCTCTCCAATTTGCTGTTATGGAGGCAACAATTGACAGACTCAGTGATTTGCCGGACTCAGTCCTGACTCACATTCTCTCTTTCCTCCCGACCAAATTCTCCGTAAGAACCAGCATTCTAGGTCAAAGATGGAGGCATCTCTGGACCTACGTCCCCAATTTAGATTTCGACTGCAGCGATCAAACCATCATCGACGAGGTTTTGTCGACGCATAAATTCCAAAGCATTAATACTTTCCGCCTCTCTTCGAACTCCCCGAAACGGACTGACCCGTGGATTATCAGCACATGGATTAACATTGCAATTGATCGCAACATCCGAAAACTCGATCTTTGTTTCTTCGACTACACAATCTGTTTGCCTAATCGTCTCTTCACCTGCAAAACCCTAGTTGATTTGAGGCTCGATTCTTGCGGTCGGATCCCCGATCCAGGCATTGCAGTGCGTTTGCCTCGTCTGAAGAAGCTTCACCTGGTCTATGTTCACTACAAGGATGGTGAATCCCTCGCGAACCTGGTTTCTCGATGTCCGGTGCTCGAGGAGTTGGTAATCTATTTAGACATGATCAATTATCGTTACTATAGAATATCTTCGCCCACAATTAAAAGACTCAGCATGAAAATTCATCCCCGTGGTACGTATTATGACCCGAATTCTGACAAAGAACAAGAAGAAGAAAACCACAAGATGGAGATAGATACACCAGCCCTTGTTTATCTCCACTTAGTCGATTACGCAGCCCGACTTATCAAAACCGGGCCGCTAACCTCCTTAACCGAAGCAGATATCTATCTTTGCAATTATGTCGTGGCAGATCACTATTCTCTTTATGCTCGATCCGTGGCTGGGTTTATTGATGGTCTCCATAACGTCAAGTGCCTAAATTTAGATTTATCGTATAGCAAAGAGGTACGGATTTTTCGATTTTTTTTCTCCCTTAATCTCATTGTATATATATTCTCTTTAGTGATGGTAACCTTGTGCTTGTCTTTCCAGATTATCGACTCAATATCCTCGGTATGGAGTACTAGAAGAAGGTTTCATAACTTAACGAAGCTCGAGTTGACTTCTCCTTACCTTCTTCTCAATATGTTCATTCAGAATGCCGATAATCTCCAAGTCCTTATTTTCTCCAAGGTTCGATGCAATGATAACAGTGTTTATATCTTTCCTATTTTATATATATCGTTTATGCCGTGTTACTAACGAGAGCCCCTTTTTTTGTTTGTTTTTGTAACCAGCCCTTTGAAGTTATAGACTCTTGGATGGAACCACCACAACAAGTGCCCGAATGCCTATTGCGAAATCTTAGAATCGTAAAGCTCGACCAAATTGAAGGTCAAGACGACGAGTTTGAATATATAAGATACATTTTGAGGAATGCCAGAGTTTTGGAGAGGATGGAAATAACGTATCACTGTTCCTTTGATTCCGAGGCGAATATTCGTACGCTCAAGGAGATCTTACATTCTTATCGAGGATCCGCTGCATGTGAAGCTGCGTTTGTTAAGGGGCTCAATAACCGTAGGTTGTAAAGTGCCTTGATTTCTAAGCACTGTTGTTTCGTAATTGCTTTATGCATTCGGCCCTTATAAGCTCCCCATTCAATCGATCATCTCAACTAAATTCTTGAATGAAACTCTCTATTAACATTAGTTGAAATTTCAAATAATGCATGTTTGTTTGTTTAAGCTAACTATATATATATATATATGTGTGTGTGTGTATTTTTTTTCCAAAACATATTATTGTATGTTCAAACACACCTTCACAGTTCATTACAATATTATGATAATTCTATTTTATTCACTGATATTTTATAATTTTTGTTAAATTTAAAATAGACTACTTATTTTTTTTAAATCTTTTGTCAGCTGAAAATAAGAATATAATTTTTTTCCGATAGACTGAGCGATCTGCCGGACTCAGTCATCTGCCACATTCTCTCTTTCCTCCCAGACCAAATTCTCCGTAACAACCAGCATTCTAGGTCAAAGATGGAGGTTTCTCTGGGCTTACGTCCCCAATTTATATTTTGACCTCAAGAATAATAAATTCATCGAAAAGCTTATGTTGATGCACAGATTGCAGAGTATTAATACTTTTCGCCTCTCTTCGGAGATATATCCCATAGGTGGCCGCGAGTACGAATCCGAGAAATGGCAATTGACCGCAATGTGCGAAGTATTGATCTTTATTTTGTTGACAATAGGATGTTGCCTGGTCGTATCTTAATCTGCCAAACCCTAGTTGATTTGATTCTGGAGAATTGCGGCTCCGTCCCCAATTTAGGCAGTGTCGTCTATTTACCTTGCCTCAAGAAGCTTCATCTAATGCGTGTTGGTTTCGAGGCTGACGAGTCCCTTTGGAACCTTATTTCCGGTTGTCCGGTGCTTGAGGATTTGCTAATCAAATTGTACGTCGATTTTCGTTCTTGTAAAGTATCTTCACCGACAGTGAAAAAGGCTCGTGGCCGATCTTCAGACAATGTGACCATTCTGACGAAGCAGGAGGTTACTACACCATGGAGATACTTTGTTTATCTACAGTTATTCCATGAATCAGCCCATCGTATCGAAACTGGGCCGCTAACCTTCTTAATTGAAGCATATATCTGTATTTACAATTGTATCGGGTCACCGGAGTATTCTCACTATTCTATTTTTTTTCGATCTGTGGCTGAATTAATTAGTGGGCTCCACAACGTCAAGTGCCTAAAATTAGATTCTTCATGTATCACCAAGTGTAGAGGTACTATCTTTTTTCAGCTTATTGCTAATCTTCCACTCTCTGTGCTTGTGCTTGTCTTTACTGTATATGAACTTCTCTGCAGATTATTGATTCACTATCCTCCGTTTCGATGACCAAAAGATTCCGTAACTTGGTCAAACTCGAATTGATCGGTCATTGCTGGTTTCTCTCAAAATTCCATGAAAATGCTGATAATCTTGAAATCCTTATCCTCAAGGAGGTTTGTTGATCAAATAAAGTTTTTACATTTCACTTTTATGTCTACTTTAGGTTCGTACACAAGAAGGAATTTGTTGATGTAAACTGCTACATAAACTGAAAGCATATTATTACCTTTCACATCTTTCTATCTAGGAAAGACTATGAGGATTGACGAGTACCAACCTCAGACACGGGTTGCCACTGCCATTAATCGCAACGTACAAAATCTTTATCTTTGTTTCTTTTATAGTAGGAAGTTACCTCAATGCCTCTTCAACAGCAAAACCCTATGTAAATCAAGACACCCTATCAGGCGTTGGATACAAGGCTGATGAGTCCCTTCCACACCCGACATCCATTTTAGTTTCCAAGACTTTCAGTTCTTCTACCACTATTACAGGCTGGAGATTTATACACCTGCTCTTACATATCTGAATATAGACGATTGCGTATCGAAGCATATATATTAAATCTGGGAAGCTAAGCTCCTTAGTTGAAGCAGATTTTATCCTTCGCAATTACCGTATTATACACGACGACGATATTCATTATTCTCGTTCGCTACTGGAGTTTATTGACGGTCTCTGCAGTGTCAAGTGCTTAAAATTAATAGGAGGTTATGCATTCGATCTTTTCGTTTAAACTTTCCCGCATTTTCAATAGTGATCATTCATGAGTATTAAGTAATGCTGTATTGTTTGTGGATTTCTCTATAGATTGTTGATTCAGTACTCTCTGCTTGGACGACTAAAAGTTTCAACAATTTAACCAATCTCGAATTGACTGACCATTTCCTTTTACTCTCGAAGTTTCTCGAAAATTCTGATAATCTCGAATTTCTTTTTCTCCGAGGGGTATGTTGATGGTGTTCAAGTTTTGGAGCCCTTTTTTTTTGTCTTATTTTTTGTCTTGAGTTAGTGACTGAGAGGCTCGTTTTATTATTTGTTCGTATCTCATGCATGTAGGCTGACGGTAAAAAAGTAGATTGGACGACGGAACCCGAAGAAGTGCCCAGATGCCTAATATCACATCTTAGAACAATAACACTGGGTGAAAATATCTATAGTAAGGAAGATCTGGAGATTGTAAGATACCTTTTACGAAATGGTAAAGTCTTGGAGAGGATGGAAATAGCTTGTCCGCTCTTCTCTCATTGCGAGTTCACCGATTCGATGTTCGATGGAATCTCACAGTTTGAACGAGGATCTGAGAAATGTGAAGTTGTCTTAGTTTTTTTGGTGATCTGTATAGCACGTCCGATCGGATATTGATTCGAGATAACAGTTTATTTGTACCATGTTCGATGACATTTCCTTCTTATTGTCTCATCGATCTCTTTAACTTATTTCTCTTCAGATTATAAAACCGAAATGTGATGTGTTCTACATAATCACTAGTTGTTGTAAAATCTATTGATGTTTATATTCATTACTCAACAAACAAATAATATTGCTTCTGAATTCTCGTTTCACACTTTGTTTTTATTTTTGAAAACTCCCACTAAGTATTAAATTGCATGCATGCATGCACTAGGCTGGATACGGTTAGACATAAGTTTTCCATAAATCTTAATTCACCCAATTATTTTTGTTGCCCCACCCGAGGCCCAAATTGTTTATACCATGGAATATTGTATGGGTTATGCTTCATTCATGTATTTCTTACTGATTACCGGAATTCAAGGCGTCAAGATGCATTAATATTTAATAGTAGCAGCATTGTTTTCTGTACAGGAATATGAGTATGGGAAGAGTTGGATTCTCAAAGATCAGTATTTAATATCAACATCAGTATTGCATTAATGAGTATCAATATCAGGATAGCTTTTATAGTAGGTTTGATGTGTGGGATTCAATGTGAAATAAGCCTTGTACAAAGTAGCCAGAATCACTCAGCTTCCCTTTTTGTTTCTCTGCAGTACATATCTTGTTCTTATTTCAACCGATAAATCATTTTCTTCCAGTTTTCTATACATGGATATGCTCCATAATCATTCCCATGGTGAACGGAATACGTTCTCCATTGACAGGCTTAGTGATTTACCAGACTCGGTCCTCACTCACATTCTCTCCTTTCTCCAGACAAAGGATTCCGTACGAACAAGCGTTCTCGCTCGAAGATGGAGGTATCTCTGGGCTTATGTCCCCACTCTAGATTTTGACGGCGAAAACAAGGACTTCATCAACAAGGCCATGTTGCTGCATATAGTGGAGCGCGTTAATACTTTCCGTCTCCTTCTAGACAAGGATTATAGCTTCCATGATTACCCACTCGATACATGGACTGCCTTCGCCATCATGCGCCGTGTGCAAAATCTTGATCTCTGTCTCCGTTTTCAAGTTGCTTTGCCTCGACGCCTCTTCACATGCAAAACCCTTGTTCATTTGAGCCTCACTTCTTGTGGTGCCATCCCGAAAAGTGGGGCCGTGTGTTTACCTAGCCTCAAAAAGCTTCATCTAATCCGTGTTCGGTATGAAGCTGATGAGTCACTCCCCTACCTTATCTCCAGCTGTCCAGTGCTCGAGGAGTTGCTTATCGAATCAATCATGCATTTGGTTTCTTGTATTATATCTTCACCCACAATAAAATGGCTCACCGTCCAGTTTCAGTTCAATCGTTACAGATCTTACAGCCATGACTACAGGCTGGAGATAAACACCCCAGCACTTATATATCTCAACATAGTTGATGGTTTATCCGAGCATATTGAATCTGGTCCACTAAGCTCCTTAACCGAAGCATATGTCCAAGTTCACAATGATCAAGAAAAACAAGACGATTTTCTCTATTCTCGATCGGTGTTGGAATTCATTGATAGGCTCCGACACATCAAGTGCCTAAAATTAGATTTATTTACAGATGTATGTATCCGATCTTTCCTCAGCTCATGTGGCAGTTTCATTACTTAATCATGATGTTTTTTTATTTTTACAAGTAATCTTTGCTTTTCTTTGCAGATTGTGGACTCAGCATTCTCCACCTCGGCCGTAAGTTTCCGTAACTTAACCAAACTCACATTGTTCGCGGATTGCCGTTTTCTCTCAAAATTCCTTCAAAGTGCCCATAATCTTGAAATCGTTTTCTATTTCGAGGTTTGTTGATGCAAAGAAAAAGTTCTTGCTATGTCTTTATTTTTTTATATACAAGCAAGAGCCTTTATTCGTAATTGTTTTTTTTCGCTTCCGTATTTTGATTGGTGATATCAGGCTCAAAAGCGAATAAAAAGGTGGATGGAACCCCAACAAGCGCCCGGATACCTATTGTCGCGTCTTAGAACTATACAGCTTTTTACTATACAGCGTGAAATTGTGAGATATCTTTTGAGGAATGCTACAGTGTTGGAGAAGATGGTAGTAGTATACCACTGTGCCCTTAATTTTGAGGAAAGGAAATACTTTCTCCACGAAATCTCGGCGTTTGAACGAAGATCCGAGGTGTGTGAACTTGCCTTTGTTAATCTTCTTGATTGGGATTTTGATGGTGAGTTATGAAGTCTATTTTAGTGTCTGTATTCAACAATTTATTCAAATGAATTTTTTGCCCTAAAGTCAGTTAAATTATTTAAATTTTTGTTTCGATCATTCGGCAATTACACGTCTACCATTTTATATTTTGGCATCATCGTTAACAACTCACTATTTTGTGTATGAAAAATACATACTTGCCCATCTTAAATGTTAGAAATTAAATAAAATTCTTCATTGTTATTTATTTTATTATCATTTTCATCAACATACACCACAACACAATCATTTTTTTACCCTATATTAATTATGTCAAAATAAATTGCTTCATCAAATAAAGAGAAAAGTGATTATACTAACTAGTTCAATGAAAAAAAAGGATTTTTTCATTCCTATATATATTTAAGTGCAAGGGTCTATATTTAATTCACGTCCCACCATGAACTCAGTTTTGAAATATGATTTTTGTTGATGATTTTTTTTCCCACATGTGTAGGAGTATGGGTTTAATTTATTGCAATTACAACCCGTTTGTTACATCGAATTGTTAAAAAACCACCCGTGTTATTTTATTTGCAAAAAAACCCCGGTGAGAATATTTCTTTAGCACAAAACCCCTAACTAGGGGTACTAATTGCTATTAAAAAAAATCATAACCATAAAAAAGAAGTTAGGGTAAAAAAATGCAAGGTACCACTAGACCACTAGCACTTTGTGAAGTTGCCTTTGTTTCTTCTTAGTAAGGAGCTGCATGATTATGAGTTGTAGTCTGTTGCTTTGCTTTTGAACTGCTTTATGCATTCAGTCCTTTATATGTTATCGCTTTTTTTTTTTTTTTTTTTTCTTATGTTACTATTATGTGATGAAATATTATTTTGAAATTTCCGAAAGTCGAGAAGATTATCTCGTACAAAACAACTCAGTTAGTTTAATGATTCCGTCTTGCTTTACATTCATCGATGTACAAAATATTTTAGATAGGCAACAAAATTTATGATATAAAAAAATAAGTTTAAATCTCGATTTCTTCCATTTGTGCGGGCCATTTGATATGAAGTAACTTTTTTCCTATGATTTAGGAATCCGGTCAATAATCAAGAAAATATATACGGTGAGTTCAAATTATATGTGCTAGCGAAAGTTTAAATTATTCTCAAGGCGGGAAATGTATATGATTTCTAAAACCTAGCAATGTTTACAGTTTCTAATCTTTGTACTTTTTTCTCTCACTTACTTATGCAAATCATGTAACAGACAACATAGGCAAATTACGGTCACTCCTATAAGGTAAGGTCAAATTACGATCACCCCTATGAGATAAGGTCAAATTACGAAAAAAATTCTTCTTGTTTACGTAATTACAGCTAACCCCCTCAACTATGTATTTTCTTACATGTTCACCTCGATGTTATCAAATTTACATGTGCTTGTCTAGGTTTTTTTCGTAAAACAATACATAATTACAATACATAATTGAGGGAGGGGTGGCTGTAATTTGACAATATGTGTTCCGCCCTGTGCAATTGTTTACACATTATTGATATTGACTGTTTCATTGATGTTCTCTTTCTCTCGGTTCCTTTCTCGAAAATAAAATTAGAGGTTAATTAATGTAAATATTTCGTCCTTTAAGATATATTAGCGATCTTTATTTATTTTATAGACAACTTATAAGGCATTAACTATATCATGGTTATTTCTCAAAGAAATTGTAATAGGCTTTCGGTAGGATAAATAAGGCTCCTTCGACCCTAAACCCGGTGATAAACACCGGGTGCGTCTTCTGCTGCTATGTGTCTTTTTTATATTTTTCTAAAATTCCTACAGGTTAATGGAGAAGGAAATATATTATAAAATACAAAAAAAAGACACGTGAGAGCAGAAGACCCATCCGGTATTTATCACCGGGTGTAATGTCGAAACTAGTGACAGAAGATTTTCGTAAAGTATACCTAGGGTTTATTTGTCATCTATCCTCGATGCCATTTTATTAAGGGTTACTACTTACTATTTACAATAAATAGTAAATAGTCATTACATAATAAATATCGAAGATTTTCGTAAAGTAAATAGTGGATTGTACAGTGGAACAGACAATGTCTTTCAGTTACAGCATAATAAATAATGGATTATGTATTTAAACTGCATATTGGAATAATAAATAGAAATATGTGATATTGATCCAAATTTTTTGAATATTTACATAGTAACATGCTTTACAATTCTAATTCTAGTATGCATTTTAATTTCGACTATGTGTAATCATTCCACTACAAATCTGTTCGGTGCCCTAACTTCTTCTTTGTCTTTGTTTTCAACACCATCGTCTTCCTTTGGAGAGAAAGTAGAGAGGGGAGGCGGCTATGGAGAGAAGAGAGAAATAAACCGAGACATAAATGAGTTTGGAATATAATTATATTATTATAATTTAATATTAAACATGGACTCATGTCAAATAGGAGAGAAAAAATGGACCTATTCAAAAACAACTTGCAAATGAGGGTGTTTGCTCTAATAATCCGATCACTATATTCCGTGAGGTTTGTTTTTAGCTTCTCTCATTTTTATTTCTTGTTTAATCTTTACCGTGTTATTCCTTTTGTTGCTTTTATCATCAGGCATGCGAAGAACTAAAAGACCGGATGGAACTCAAAGAAGTGCCAAAATGCATCTTAAAACTATTACGCTTATTGATATCGTCGGTACAAAACACGAGCTTGAAATTGCGAGGTATGTTTTGAGGAGGAATGCTGAAGTGTTGTAGAAGACATGCACCAGATGCCCTTAAGTAACAAAAAAGTTGCATAAAATCCCCTCTATAGCTAACGGTGTTAACTATTAACGGAAAAGGGGATTTCATGCCAAAAAAAAAAATGAAACACGAGGTTTACGCAATAAAACTAACACAGGGGTTTTTGGGAAGGTTATCCATTCAAAATTTTCATCAGCTGATATATCCTTCATTTTCAATATTGATGATGAAGAATATTAATTAATCTTGTATTGTTTGTTCATTTCTGTACAAATTGTTGATTTAGAACTCTATACCTAGGACGACTACAAGTTTTCACAATTTAACGGTGTTTGAATCGTCGAATTTTAATCATCGCATCTACAGTTATGCATCCAGGAAGCAAACTCGCAACAAGCCAACAACATGCACAAATGTTTAGCGTTAACTTTGAAAATTTGGTAGTCAATTATATTGTTCCTAAAGTCAGTTATAAAAATTAGGTAGTCAATTATAATATTTTCGATGTCAACTATAAAAAAATGGTAATCAACTATAATTCTTTATCAATTAATTATATTATTTTATGTCTAAGACAGTGGCAAGTCCAGGAATGTGATACATGGTGGGTTTAAATTTTCTGGGATACGAGGGCAGCACCCCCGGAAAAAAATTAGGACTTTTTTGTGACAATAAGAAAATAGGAAAAAAAATGAAGAAATATTGGGTGGACTAATTAATAAATATTGTATGGGTTTAATTGATATATAGGTATAATGTGGAAAAATTTTGTAATTAAAGGGTGGACTCGACCCTGGTCTAAGATCGAGACTACAGTGTTCCTAAATCGGACCAGACTCTATTATTTTATATATTGATGGGTGTTTTCCTTATTTTATAGGAGAGGACGCTGAAACGCGTGGATTACCACAATGTGTTTTTAACTCTCTTACTTTCAAACTAAATTTTAGTTATGGTTTAGTGGGCAAAGTATAATACTTAGTGGACTAAGTAGTGCTTAGTGGGTTAAATTGTGCATATTATTTTAACTACTAAACTCACCCACTAACTCATGTTCTTGAGTGTTCTTGTAGTTGGTTTTCTTGCAGATCGTGGGCTAAGGAGTGGAAGCTTGGAATATCTATAAATACCGACTTCAAGACTCAAGGAAGTTTAAGGATTCGAAGAAACAAAAACCGAGAGCTGAAAAGAATTCATGAGAGTTTTAGTGTGTTTCTAGAATCTGTTGTACGTACTCCTCACGAGTACATTCTTTGAAATTTAGAATTTTTAGTATTTATCTCTTTGTTTCTATATTTGGTTGTAAGAATGATCAAGCTAATGATTCATTCATAAGGAAGAAGTTTTTGTACTTCTTCTCTTTGTATTTTGGTAATACTGTTTTAATATAATTTTTACGTCCTTTAAAGGGCAAGTTCACAAATTTTACTTGTGAACATTTTTAAAATCTGAGTATTGTTTTTATATTTTCGCTGCATGTTTATACAAGTGTCATAACACTTAATATAACACATCTGTATGAAACGAATTCGGGACCATAAATTCTTTCAGACGCAATTGTCATTTTACCCTTGGTCAACGACTAAAATCACGTCGAATGTGTATTTTTTTAGAAATTCATGGCGGGTTTTGCTAGTTTATTTATTATGATGGTTTTCTACCATTTCGAGATTACACATGAGTATTTTTGGCAGTTAACTCATTTTGGCCTTGTGTATAGACATAATATAGCAAGTATTTGAAGAGTCACACTCTCAAGTCTCAAGTATTGGATACGATTCGTCTAACCAGCCTTAATTATTGGCTAATGCACCATTAAAGATGTATTGACTTGTGGGTAAAAGAATCGGCGGCGGTCTGTTGTTTACAGAGTATGTGAAAGAGTCACACTCTTTAAGATATATTGAATGATGCATGCATGATGGGTGGGATACAATGCCACATAAGCTTTATTTATATAAGGAAACCAGAATCAGACATTTCTTCTTCTTCTTCAAGGAATCCTCTCTCACTCTCTCTCTCTTCGGATGGAAAACCGGAAACTGGATTCGATTATTAGGCTTAGCAATTTGCCGGACTCTGTCCTCTCCCACATTCTCTCTTTTTTCCCGACCAAACTCTCCATACGAACCAGCATTCTAGCTAGAAGATGGAGGTATCTCTGGTCTTATGTCCCCGCTCTATACTTCGACTCCGAATATGATGATGAGGAATTCATCGAAAGGGTTTCGTCGCTACATAAACCGAAAACCATTAATACTTTTCGCCTCTATTTAAAAGATGTTCACAACGGCATTGAACCTCAAATTAAGGCATGGATTGCCTCTGCCATTAAACGCAACGTCCAAAGTGTCGATCTTTTTTTTACTTGTTTTGATAATCTTTTGCATCAAAGCCTCTTTACCAGCAAAACCCTAGTTGATTTGAAGATCAGTTCTTCCAGTTTCATCCCCGTTGTCGTCACCCCGTTAGCGGTCTGTTTGCCTCGCCTTAAAAAGATTCATCTTTCACCTGTTCTATATGCAGGCGGTACGTCCCTTTCAGACCTGCTATCCAGCTGTCCTGCCCTTGAGGAGGTGGTTATTCGGTTAATAATTAAATGCAGTTCTAGACCTTTTACTATATCTTCACCCACGATAAAACGGCTCACCGTTCGTTTTCAGCTCACTCGTACTACTGATAAGTTCAATAATTTCTTATCCCAGATAGTTGGTTTTAGATCTTGCAATCATGCGATAGAGATAAATACCCCCGCACTTAGATATCTCAATGTAGTTGATTACTTATCCGTGCGTATCGAATCCGGGGCGATGAACTCCTTAATTGGAGCAGATATATATCTTAACCATGTTAACAGAAAACAAGAAGATTTTCCTTCTTCTCGGTCTGTGTTGGAATTTATTGATAGGCTTTGCAATGTCAAGTGCCTGAGGTTAGATTTGTCATATTGTAAAGAGGTACGTACGTAATTATATTTGATCCTTCGTCGGCTCATTTTACATTTTCTTTAGTAATAGCGCAGCTTTGCATAATTAGCTTGTGTATGAATGTGTTTGTTTGCAGATTCTTGACTCTGTATTCTCTGCTTGGTTTATAAGTTTCAATAACTTAAACAAACTCGAATTGACTGCTGATTGCCGTTTTCTTTCAAAGTTCATCGAAAGTGCTGATAATCTTGAAATCCTCGTCTTTTGGGAGGTAATTTGTTGATACAAAAATAAAGTAGCTTCTTTATATATTTTTACTTTGTTTCACAAGTGATAACTTTATTATTTCCTTTGTGTTGCTAAATTAAAATCAGGTTAGTGAAGATATAAAAAGCTGGATAGAACCTCCACAGGTGCCGAAATGCCTATCGTCACATCTTAGAACTATAAGGCTCGTTGAAATAGTCGGCACAAAACACGAGTTTGAAATTGTGAGGTATCTTTTGAAGAATGCTAAAGTCTTGGAGAGGATGGAAATAGTATATCCCCCATTCCTTGAATCCCATGAAAAGATTTATGTGCTTGAGCAAATTGATCTACTTGAACGAAGATCCGAGGCATGCGAACTTGAGTTTGTCGAGATTTTTTAGGAGTTGCAGCATAAACACAAGTTATCGTGTCTCTTAATGTCTGTATTCGACCAAAAAAGAAAATATATTGCTTCAATAATATTATTGCCGTTTGCATTCTGTTTTTTTTTTGTTTTTTTTTTTTTTTTTATCAGTAAAAAGTAATTGTTACATTTACGCATATTAATAGAATTTTGTTAATCCGACTGTATTAATTTATTGAGGTTTAAGTTAACTGTATATGTTCTTATGTTCTCCAAACTAGGATCTCTGTATGTTTATATTTTTTTTCGCTTATTAATTTTTCAAACACAAAATTTCCTTAATTGTTCATCTAATTCGTTGAAGCAAAATTACGTAATATTAAAATATCAGCCCAAGCCCAAGTTAAATACTTTAGTTTTCAGTAAGGGTCCATTTGGATGGAGGGATTTGATATGGTAAATGGATTTTCAATGACTCCAATTTTGGAGTCATTTGAAATCTATCACTATTGCTCCAAAATCAACTAAAAAGGAGGGGTAGGAATTTGAAATCCATCTCCAAATCCCTCAATCCAAACAAGTCCGAGGGATTTGTTATTATGGATTTGAAATCCCTCCCCCAAATCCCTCCATCCAAATGCACCCTAAATAAAGAGTAAAAATTTGGCGGAAAAAAAAAAAAACAAAGGAAAAATCACAATCGTCTTCCCCAACGCGTCCAAGCAAAACCCTAACACAATTTGTGGGAAAACATACATAGTACTTTCATCGATAAGCCGAATTCACTTACAGACGGACCTATTTTTCCATTTTATTATGAATATACCATACTCGCGTAGCAGAGGTAGCAAAGCCAGAAGGCTTATCAATGGTGAACATAAAGTGTTCTCAATTGATAGAATTAGCGCATTGCCGGACTCAGTAATCTATCCGGACAAAAGATTCCGTACTAACAAGCGTTCTCCGTACTAACAAGCGTTCTCGCTCGAGAATGGAGGTATCTATGGCTTATGTCCTCACCCTAGATTTGTACCGCGAAAACGAAGAATTCATCGCTAGGGTTATGCAGTTACGCAGAGTGTTACCTTGAATACTTTCCGCATCGGCAATGTCCGATGCAGTGGACGACAACAAATGGAGACGTGGATTACGTTTGCCCTCGTGCGCAATGTCCAAAAACTCGATATAAGTCTCCATGATTCTTTTCCCTTTTATTCTTTTCCCTTTTTATCGAGGCATCTTCAACTGCGAAACCCTTGTCGATTTGAAACTTAAGTCGTGCGGTGTCATCCCAATAAGCGGCCCCGTGTTTTTGCCCCGCCTTAAGAAGCTTTATCTAATCGATCCGAGATGCGAGGCTAACGAGTCACTCCCGAACCTGATTTCCGGCTGTCCGGTGCTCGAAGAGTTCACAATCGTATATGTCCCCGATGTGCTTGCTCGCAATGTGTTTTCACCCACAGTGAAAAGGCTCTCCCTCAATCTCGTGTCCGACTGTCGTATATCTAACACGCTGGACATAAATGCCCCTGCACTTGAATATCTCGAAATAAACAGTAGCTCCCCCGGGCAAATGAAATCCGGGCTGCTAAACTCGTTAACTGAAGCAGATATCTGGCTTAACAATTATAATCGTACTAAAGAAGATTTGTTTCTTTACTATCGATCTCTTCTGGAATTCATCGGTAGACTTTGCAATGTCAAGTGCCTAAGTCTGTATATATCATCAAATTGTATGTTATAAAATTGTACTGAGGTGATGCGCTCGAACTCGATCCTTCATGAGTTCATTGTCCATTTATTTATTATTATGGTAATGCTGTACGATAATTGTCTCCGCACATTGATTTACAGATTGTTGACTCGGTATTCTCTACTTGGAGTTGGACGACAAGTTTTCATAACTTAACCAAACTGGAACTGAGCGCTGATTATCGTTTCCTAGTTATCAAAGTTCCTCGAGCTAGCTGATAATCTTGAAATCCTTATTTTCTCCGAGGTTTGTTGATTCAAAATATACGAACAAGTTTTTGCTCCTTACGCCTTTTTTATTGTCTTACATAAGTTTGCGTTTTGTTGTTGTTGTTGTTGTTGTTGTTGTTGTTGTTGTTGTTATTAGTCTCTTGGAAAAATAGAAGGTTGGGTTATTGAACCGCCACAACGAGTGCCAACGTGTCCGTTATCACGTCTTCAAACTATAAAGCTTGCTAACATCAAAGGTAATTAAAAGGCACGAGTTTGAATACATAAGATATCTTTTGAGTAATGCTCGAGTCCTGGAGACGATGACAATAGAATATATCAAATTACTTGATTACGAGAAACAGATTCATATGCTCAAAGAAATCTCACGATTTCGAAGAGGATCGACGGCATGTGAAATTGTCTTTGTTCAGGCTGGGAAACAGTGACTTTTGATGTTTGTCTATATTCCACAAAGGCTTTGGCAATGTTTGGAAGCGTTTTGGATCTTATTTTGATTTCATTTTGAGGAAATATGTTTTGGGGGAATAATTTGAGAATGAAAGTAATGTTTGTTTGTATTTTGGAAGGAGACAAAATACACTGTAGCAAGTCAAATCATGTTTAAAGGTGTTAGAAAAAGGTATGTTTGAAGAAAAAAATTTAAAGGTGAAGTGATGTTTATTTGTTTTTTAGTGAAGACATTTTTTACTGTAGCAGTCCAATCATTTTACTGTAGCAGTCACATCATGTCTGAAGGAGAGAGAAACTTTTGAAATTGTTTTGAGAAAATGATTTGAAAAGTGTAATAAATCCCATTTTGTTTTGGGGAAACAATGAAAACAAAATAAAAACGGTTCCAAACATACCCTTTACTTTTTTCTCAAATACAACTATTTCACATTTTACAATGCCATCTACTATTTAATTCCTCCATTACTTACTCGACCATTGTTTTATTGCATGTTACAACAGACAAATGTTCCTTCATAGCAGTTTTCTTTGTATTATACAAACTAGACCAGTGATATATCTATTGGCCCAGCCCAATAGCCCACATTTACTGGACCACAGGCCTAACTTAATAGTTATTTCTACAGAGGCCCAATCAAGGCCCAATCAAACCCAAATAAGGTTGGGCCCGATAAATTGTCTCGACCCAATCAATAAAGTATAAATAGAACTTAAATTCATTTAATGAAGGTACGCATTTTATTATTCAATCACTCCCTCTACAAAAATTCTCTCAGCTATTATTGATTATCCGCACGTCTGACTTGAGCGTCGGAGGGGTTTCCGCCGGATCAACCCCCGGCTTAGATTACGTGTTATTTGTTCGCAGGATCCTTGAGTAAATTAGAGTTTTCAGGACTATCTAGCTCGTGAGCATGTGACCTACTTTGCTCTCCCAGCTTCAACACTCCAGGTGATTTATTTCTTACATCATCAACCAGTTTTATAATATTTGTTATTACTATCGTTGATTTATTTGAGTATTACGTTGAGCCCGTCTGGTTGGCAAAATAAGATTAGCCAAAATAAGATTAAATAATTTAATGAGACCCAATTATTTTATTGGAGCTTAAAACGTCCAACAAAAAAAAACTCACTAGAAGGCGATAAGCCATAATTATATAATATTGGTGGGTTGACCCGGCAATTTATTGAGGATATCAAACATCAAACTAAGTCCAACTATTTAATTAATCATGACTTATATTGGCAACCAAACGAGAATAACTACATCGTTGATTTAGTTGGTACAAATTAGTTACATGGATGTGATTGGTACGTTTGACCAGAAAATTAGTTGGGGGTAAGATTGTAGTTACACAAGAAAACGGGTAAGATTGTAATTACACAAGAAAACATTACAAAATTAATGTCATTACATTTTTATAAGTTTGGCCCGAAAATATATGGAGTATTTGGTACGTTTCCTGACTGAGGCGTGTGTATGCGACAAAAACTCATAATTAAGGGGTGTAAAATGAACTTTGCCCAAACTATTATGTGATGTTAATTGGGTTTTTTTATTTTATTTTTTTGATTAAATGTGATGTTAATTGTTAATCTATTGATAAAATCATATGTTATTCCCCATGAGTTATTTTAATTTTAACATTAAAATATTTTAGAGTAGAAAGTTGAAAAGAAAAAAAAAAGAAAAGAAAATGCGTATGTGACGAGTCATCCCCAATATGGATGGTGCCGTTTTTTTACCTTGCCTCAAGATTCTTCATCTAATCCATCTTCGGCACCTGGGTGGTGGTGAAACCCACGCGCCCTTGCTCCCCGGCTGTCCTGTTCTTGAGGAGTTGGTTATCGGATTCATCGCCGATCAAAGATGTAATTCTTGTACCATATCTTCATCCACAATCAAAAGGCTCACAATCCATTTTCAGTTCGTTACTTCCATAGCCTCAAATGAATATTGGCCACCTGAATTTGAAGACGATTTATTTTTTGGTATGTTTAGACGTCGAGTTTACAACCATGGCTATAAAGTGGATGTAAATACCCCAGCACTTAGATATCTTTACTTTGATGATCGCTTATCCGAGCATATTGTATCTGGAGAGCTGGCTTCCTTAATTGAAGCTGATATCTATCTTCGCAATGATAACAAGAAAGGAGACGATGTTCTTTATCCTCGATTTGTGTTGGAATTTTTCGATAGGCTCTGCAATGTCAAGCGCCTAAAGTTAGATTTGTCGTATTGTACCGAGGTATATGCATTATTATTATATTCCATCTTTCGTCAGCTTTGTTATTGATTATTTATATTCTCTCTTGTATTTATTTGCAGATTGTTGACTCGGTATTCTCTTCTTGGAATATAAGTTTTGGTAACTTGACTAAACTCGAATTGACTGCTGATTGCCGTTTTCTCTCAAAGTTCCTTGAGTATGCTGATAATCTTGGAATCCTTATTTTTTGGGAGGTAATTTGTTGATGCAAATGAAACATTTTTTCGTGTTAATTATGTTTTCTGTGTCGTTGTGTTATGTAAGTGAGAGATTTCTCCTCTCTTGTTTATTGTTGGTTTGATGAATAGGTCGGTGAACAAATAAAAGAGTGGAGGGAACCCGAACAAGTGCCGACATGCCTGTTATCAAATCTCTGAACTATAATGCTTACCAACATTGTCGGTACAAAGCATGACTTTGAAATTGTGAGCTATATTTTGATGAACGGTAAAGTCTTGGAAAAGATGGAAATATCATATCCCTTATTCCTTGGTTCCGATGAAAAGACTTGTGTTGTCGAAGAAATCTTGTCGTTCGAACGTGGATCAGAGGCATGTGAACTTTCCTTTGTTGAGTTTGTTTAGTTGTGCCACAATTTGAATTTATCGAGTCTCTTGATGTTTTTTTGCCTATTAGTCTCATCAAATTTTAATTTTTTGTTACTATTGTGACATCAAGCTTCGTATCGATTGTGCAATGTTGAATGATTGTTTTGATTTGCAGCATGTTTGTCCAGTGTGTTGACGGTGCTCTATAATTATATATATATATATATATATATATATATATATATATATATATATATATATATATATTTTTATTACTAAGTATCTTCGACTGCAAAATTTATAATATTGCATGAGTAGATTTATGAATCGACACATTGTTTATAAACATCTTTTGAGTGTCTTTTAAATATTCATGAATTGCTAAATAAATTGATTGATTTTGCATTATTTTTAAATATTCATGTATTTCTTAATACATATACATACACATATATATATATATATATATATATATATATATATATATATATATATATATATATATATATATATATATATATATATATATATATATATATATATATATATATATATATATATATATATATATATATATATATATATATATATATATATATATATATATATATATATATATATATATAATAACTTAGGGTACTTTTAATATATCAAATTAAAAGGGAACTAATTTGAAAATAAGTAAAATATATACACCTTACCTAAAAGTAGGACAATAGCTCTGAAAAGATAAATTGTCTATCTTTTCTTTCATCTCAGGGGCGCGAGTCCACCCCTTTGAGAGTGTGGACTCAAGTCTCAAGGCCACCCTCAATTTACTAATTCTCCCCCATATTATACATATATATCTATTAAACCCACCCAATTTTTATTAATTAGTCTACCCAAAATCCAAAGGGAATTGTTATTTGAAACGTTCATAATTAATTTTCCAATTTTCCAATTTTTTTTTAGCTATTTGAAGTTTGGGGGTTTTTTGATTTTTTTGAAAAGTTTTGGGGGGTTATTTTTAAAAACCGCAAATAACAAATTTGTAACCGTAAATAGCATTTCATAATCCAAATTAATACAAAAAAAGGTGTTTCTACCATGAGATCCCGTGTTCTAAACTTATATAAGATACCCCCTTCAAATTGCGACACGTGTCCCAACAAAAAAACCTATTTTTTTCTCATTTATGTATTGTCGCAAATACCCTTTGTACAATAATTATTTTAAAAAAATCGACAATTATAAATTATTAATGAAATGTCAATTTTACCCTCTCTATTTTAATGCAATTTTAAATTTATATTTATTGCTGAATTAAAATTTATAAAGTGAATTATATCATTATTCATAAAAATCATTAAACCACCCAACCAAAATTGCATCAACCTAAATTCAAACTTGTGACCATCTAAAAACATACAAGAATACTTACCATTAAGACATAAAACACAATTGACAATAAACTAACAATATGGATATATATCACAAAGCTACAATTTATAATGGTTATAAAACTTATATAAATAATGTTAAATAAATTATTAATTATCATATAATTATTATTGTATATTAATAATATCCCATACTAACAAATCTTTATATCATATATTTTAAAAATCTAAGGAAATGCTGATCAACTCGTGTGATTTAAAATTGATTTTCGAAAGAATTTGAAGTTTGAATTGAATCGTAAATTGTAAGATTTAATTAAATCATAATATTTGAATCAATTAAACTCATGTGTTTTCAATTCAAAAACAATATTCAAAGATTTGATCGATTAAGCTCAACTCATTTCAATTCGTAGACAATATTCAAATACTTGAATCGGTTAAACTCAATAATTTACAATAGCGTATTAATCAAACTATGTATAGTTAAAGTTTTGTATCTTTTTTTATTGAATTTTATCATAAAAAATAATAAAATTTAATTCGTAAAAATCGTAAGATTTAATCGGTTCATGGTTGGATTAAATCTTACGATTTACGATTTGATTCTTACGATTTTACGAATTAAATTATTATTTTTTGTTAAAATTGAATTAAAAGGATAGTAGACTTTAATTATAAATAGTTAACTCGATTAATACGTTTTTGTCAGTAGTTGAACTTAATCGATTCAAAATTTTTAATAATATTTACAAATTAAAAGGATTTGCGCTTAATTGATTCAAATTATACGCTTTAATTAATCTTATGATTTGATTCTTACGTAATTTAGGAATTATTTTTTTATGATAAAATTGAATTAAAAATGTATTACACTTTAACTAATAATAGTTAATTTGATTAAGACGTTCTTGTCAATAGTTGAGTGCGCTAATTAATTGATTTAAATATCTGAATAATGTTTACAAATTGAAAGGACTTGAGCTTAATTGGTTCAAATATTACGCTTTGATAAAATATTACGATTTACGATTAGGTTCTTACATGTGTTAGGAATTAAATTTATTATCTTTATGACAAAATTAAATTAATAAGATATTAGACATTACTTATAAATAGTTAAATCAATTATGTAACACGTTATGTCAATAGTTAAGCAACCGATTTAAATATATATTTGAATAATGTTTACTAATTGAAAGAATTTGAACTTAATCGATTCAAATCTTACTATTTGATTAAATTAAATATTAAAAGAAAATTCACAATATAGTATTTGTAGTATATAATTTTATTTTAAAGTGAGAAAACTACTAATTGGAATGAGTTATAAATTTTTCTTCTTCTAAATAAACATATTATTTTATTTTTTATTTGGATTTGTCACACTATCGATTTAAATAAGTGAGTTTGAATTAAGTTATGCATTTTTTTTACATTTAATTGAGCATTCTTTTCATTTTTAAATGGTGGAGTTTATTAATAATTCTAATATTATATAATTAATGATAGATGTTTGGGATATTGAACTGCAATTCTTTAAAATTTTCAAACTTTATTATATTAAATTTGTTAATAATTTATTTAATATCATTTAATAATAATGAATGTTGCAATTAATATTTTAATTAACAGTATTTATACAATTATGGTAAATATATCGTAATATGTTAATGTGCTTGGATGGTTAGAAGTGATGAATGTATTAAGATGTCCCAAGTACTATTCCTAGTGAATGCATTTTTTTCGATTATTTATCAAATAAAACTCTGTCACAATGAATTTAAATTAATCATTTTTTAGAATATAGGCTATGTTATTTTCCTAGGGTCCAGATTTAATCTTAGAAAATTAATGGTGATTAATACATATCTCATATAAGTTTAGAACACAAAAGACCCACAAAAAAATGCCCCAATTATTATTAATGTATCCATCTAAAATTCAAATTAATGCAAAAAAGCTCATTTTCTTTTTTTTTTTTTGATTTTATTCTTTTTATCATCCTATTTTCTGATTTTGTCATAAAATAATCCTAAAAAATTTTCGGGGGCGCCCGAAAATTTAAACCCACTCTATAAAACATTCATGGCCCGCCACTGCCTAAAAGTCAACAAAACCCTTTCCACTTTTTTTTATCCAATTTCTCACATAATCAGTCAACATTTTTTTTGCATGTTTATATTTTTTTTTATTGAATTCTGCACCCTTTTGACGTACAAACTACAACCTATTTTTTTCCTGCTAGGGTAGAAAAATATTTAACTCAACAAAAGTATTTAGTGCCACGTATAATAACAAGGGGTAATCACAAAAAAGCCCATGACAAGGGCACTTAATTAAAATAGGGACATTCAACTTTTTTGTCTTTCAAATAAATCCACCCCATTCAAACTTATTTGCAAATAAGGAAAATCCTTTTATATATACCAAAATTACCCCTAATTCATTGAAACCCAATTCAACTCCAATTTCATGATTTACACCCCAATTTAGCTCAATTTCATCAATTAACCAATTTTAACCCTAATTTCAATTTTAACCCCAATTTTAACCCTAATTCTTATCAATTCCACCAATTATGCTCTAACTTCCTTAATATTACACATTGACCCCGGATTTTAACAAATATATCACATTAACCCCCAAAACTTTTTTTTTTCTGAAAATAATTTTTTTTCTGAAATATTTTTTTTCCGGCCAGATTCCGTCGGTCTCCGGCGTTGACTTTTTTTTTTTTTTTTTTTTTTTTGAATATTGTTTTCCTGAAATTTTTTTCCGGCCGGTTAACGGCCGTTGACCGCCGGGTCTCCGGCGTTGATTTTATTTTAATTTTTTTTTCTTAAAAAAAATATATTAATTAATTTTACTGTCTTGGCTGCTAAATTACTGTCTCCGGCAGCTATTAAATTGTCGGAGACAGTAATTTAACTGTTAATTGACTGTTTTTTTTTTTTTCTTCAAAAATATTTTAATTAATATTACTGTATTCGTTGCTAAATTACTGTCTCCAGCAGTTATTTAACTGTCGGAGACAGTAATTTAACTGTTAATTGACTTTTTTATTCTTAAAAAAAATATGTTTAATTAATATTATTGTATTCGTTGCTAAATTACTGTCTCCAGCAGTTATTTAACTGTCGGAGAGAGTAGTTTAACTGTTAATTGACTTTTTTATTCTTAAAAAAAATATTTTTAATTAATATTACTGTATTCGTTGCTAAATTACTGTCTCCAGCAGTTATTTAACTGTCGAAGACAGTAATTTAACTGTTAATTGACTTTTTTATTCTTAAAAAAAATATTTTTTATTAATATTACTGTATTCGTTGCTAAATTACTGTCTCCAGCAGTTATTTAACTGTCGGAGACAGTAATTTAAATGTTAATTAACTTTTTTATTCTTAAAAAAATATTTTTAATTAATATTATTGTATTCGTTGCTAAATTACTGTCTCCAGCAGTTATTTAACTGTTGGAGACAGTAATTTAACTGTTAATTGACTTTTTTTTTTTTTTCTCCTTAAAAAAAATTATTTTAATTAATATTACTGTCTTGGATGTTAAATTACTGTCTCCAACAGTAATTTAACTGTCTTAGACAATAATATTAATAATATTACTGTTCGGAAAAATAATATTCATAATATTACTGTCTAAAACAGTAATATTACTGTCTGAGACAGTAATTTAGTAGTCCATACAGTAATATTAATTAAAATATTTTTTTTCTAAGAAAAAACAATTCAAAAAAAAAAAAAAAGTCAACGCCGGAGACCCGGCGGTCAACGGTGGTTGACCGGCCGGAAAAAAAATTCAGGAAAAAAAAATTTCAAAAAAAAATTTCAAAAAAAAAAAAAAAAAAAAAAAAAAAGTCAACGCCGGAGACCGGCGGTCTCCGGCGGTCAACGCCGGAATCTGGCCGGAAAAAAAAACATTTCAGAAAAAAAATTATTTTCTGAAAAAAAAAAAGTTTTGGGGGTTAATGTGATATATTTGTTTAAATCCGGGGTCAATGTGTAATATTAAGGAAGTTAGATCATATTGGTTGGAATTGATAAGAATTATATTATTGAGGGGTATTTTAGACTAAAGACATGGGGGATGGGCTTAATTGAGAAACTGTTTTTTTTGTGGACCAAAATGCATTTAAGTCCCATGTGATGGACCTTTTTGCGATTTGCCCTAATAACAAAAGGTTCTGTTTTGTAAAAATATTTTGTCAAAAATTACATCTAGATTCTAGAGTTTTAAATAGAATAAATAGTTTCCTAAACCAATTCTTATAATACTAGGTAGTTACAGAGAAAAGAGTATTCTTATTTAAAAAAATAAAATTACATAGAGAAGGGTTATTTAACCTACGAACTCAAGCAGAACCCTAATCCGCAGAGCGCTTCAGTTTCTTACCTAAAAGATTTTGATTCTTAGTCAAACAAATTTCCGACATTCATTCATCGTCTGAACTTATGGAGACAACAGAAGAGCACAGCAGACGGCGCCATAAGCGTTCGAACGGTGAACATTATAATGCGGTCTCAGTCGATAGGCTCAGCGATTTGCCGGACTCGTTACTCTGTCACATTCTCTCTTTCCTCCCGACCAGATTCTCCGTAAGAACCAGCATTCTAGGTCAAAGATGGCGGCATCTCTGGTCTTACGTCACCAATTTAGTTTTCCGCAACAATTCTCAAGACGCCATAAACAAGGTTTTGTATCTACACAAACATCGAAACATTAATACTTTTAGCCTCACCGATGGGGTTGGCTGCAACGTCAATCAAATCGGTACGTGGATTACTTATGCCGTCGCGCGCAACGTGCAAAACCTCGATCTCTATTGTTGTCGGTATAAAATCGCTCTGCCTCGATGCCTCTTCACATGCGAAACCCTAGTTGATCTGAAGCTGGACTCGTGTGGCGTAATACCGAACGGTGGCGCTGCGGGCGCCCTGTTTTTGCCGCGCCTGAAGAAGCTTCATCTAATCCGTCTTCGATACGAGGCTGAGGAGTCCCTCCCCCACCTTCTCTCCGGTTGTCCGATGCTCGAGGAGTTGACGGTCTGTTTATTCGTCAGTAGCTATCCTCGTAAAATATCCTCACCCACAATCAAACGACTCGCAATCAGTCTTCATTTAGATGGTACGGCATCTCGCAACCAATTAGACTACGACCGCAGGCTGGAGATAGACACCCCGCGCTTGTTTATCTCAAGCTGTTTGCTTTCTCAATCCCGTACATCAAATGTGGGGCGCTGACCGACTTAACTGAAGCGGATATCTATATTTGGGATTATATCAAGAATGGAGACAGGTTTCTTTACTCTCGATCCGTGGTGGAATTTATCGGTGGGCTCCACAATGTTAAATGCCTAAGATTAGAGTTATCGCATTGTACAGAGGTGTGTATTCGATCTCTTTTCAGCTCATTGTATATTGCTTTAGTGATGGTAATTAATCTTTATATATACTATCTCTGTGATTGTCTTTCTTTCTAGATGGTTGACTTGCTATACTCTGCATGGAGGAGTATAAGTTTTCGTAACTTGACCGAACTCAAATTGTCTTCCGATTGTTTGTTTCTCTTGAAGTTCCTTGAAAAAGCGGATAATCTTGAAATCCTTACTCTCTCGCAGGTTTGTTGATGCAATAATTAAACAAGTTTTTTTCTATTTTTTTTTGTTTCTCTATTGTGTTACACAAGTGAAATCGTTTGTTTGTTATGAACAGGGTGGCGATGCAAAGTGGATTCAACCGAAACAAGTGCCGACATGCCTATTGTCTCGTCTTAGAGCTATAAAGCTTGTTGGCGTCAGAGGTAAAGAGTACGAGTTTGCGATTATGAGATATCTTTTGTTGAATGCTCGAGTCTTGGAGAGGATGGAAATAATATATCCGCGGGAAAAGATTGAAATAATGCTGAAGGAAATCTCGCGGTTCGAACGAGGATCCAAGGCATGTAAAGTTGCTTTTATTTCTAAAGGGGTAAGGGGCTCTGCAAAATTATCATAAGTTTGTTAAAGTCTATTTATTATTGATCATGTTTATATATATTGAACAATCCCGGTTATTGTATGTATCAAGACACGCTTACTTGTATTTGTTGATCTTCTTGCAATGCAGAGAGAGATAGAGTGCTGCTTCGAGGATCGAGGAGATCGAACAAAAATAGCTTGGTTTCTCGGCTCGAAGAAAATTGAGGGGTGTTTTGGTAAAAAAAGAAAGCGATAAATTGGATTGATTATTGGCATTGCTGCAGAAGTTTTCCTGTTGTAACTGCTTTGAATTAACTAATTTGATACTTGGTATTAAGTATTAACAATGGAAAGCTATATTATGCCACTGCTATTCTGAATTGTTGGTTTCCTAGTTCAGCAGATTTCAATCCTAATTGTAACAATATTTTTCATTTGGAATTTTGAAATTGGAATATATATGAGATTTTAATTTTCGATTTGATTTTAATTTTTGAAAATAAATCAAAATTTTCTCTTTTTTTCCACCAAAAAATGCATCTGTTCATTATTATCAATATTTCTAGGTGATTAATAAAATAGAAATTTTGGTTTCTGCCGATTTCGATATAAAAAAGGACAAAGTGCACTTTGCTCATTTTTAGTTCTTTCTCCCCTACAAATTAAAAATTGAGACTCTTCCCCATCCAAATTTTTTTATAGTTGCTCTTTGTCTCAAATGGAACTTTCGGGCGTATTTTTCACTGATTTTTTTATATCTCCTTCAACATGAAGGGCATTTTTGTCCTTTCACCAACCCCATCCAAATATTATAGTTGCCACTAGTACCGACACAATTCCGACCAATTTCTCCTGCCTAAACATGTCTCTTAGAAGCAGCGGCTCAACTTTGCTCCAAAATTGGAACGAAAAAACTTGTTCTAAAATCGGAGAATTTTGAATTGGAATCGGCGAAATTCAGAAATTTTCAATTTTTTATCCCTTAAATATGACATATATAATATATTGGTATTTTAAGTGTAATATTCGTGAAAAAAATCGGAATTTTCGGAACTTAGATCGAATCGAAAATCGGAATCTCATGTATATTCCAATTTCGATCCAATTAATTTCGGAAAAATCGGAAATCGGAATTTCAGAATTCGTATTGAAAAATATTGTTCCAAAATCAGAAAACTTCAGATCGAAATCGGCGGAAATAAGAAATTCCGCTCCAATTTCAACCCCTAGATACATGGTGCAAATTTTAAAATAAATAATGTTTACAAGGATGTTCAACCAAATACATAAACTTATGGTGCCTCGTATAAAAAAATTGAACAACTAGTATGCGAATTTGGTCTCTATGAAAGAGAGAGAAAGCGACACCGTAATTTATGTGAAAAAAACCCTAAAATTTTCTATTAAAAAAACAAAACCCTAAACCCTAGGGGGAAAATTCAATCTTCAGACCTAATTCACAAGGGTCAAGAATCAAACATCTCTCCAGAACTCGTTGTTTTCAATTTTAATTTATGGCGATAGCATCAGAACAGCACGGCGGAAAGCGCCTGAAGCATTCGCAGCAGACAACGCTCTCGCTCTCGATTGATAGACTCAGCGAATTGCCGGACTCAGTCCTGACTCACATTCTCTCTTTCCTCAAGACCAAATTCTCCGCCAGAACCAGCATTCTAGGTCAAAGGTGGAGGCATCTCTGGGCTTACGTCCCGATTTTAGATTTCCGCCAAGACAATCAAGAAACCATCAACAGCGCCATGCTGCTGCGCAAAGTGCAAACTACTAACTTTCTCCGCCTGTATAATTCTTATTATTATCCGTTCGAATACAGCGACCGTCAACTCCAGACATGGGTTACCTTTGCCATGGCGCGCAATGTGAAACGACTCGATCTTTTTCTTCATTCTATAAACCCTTTGCCCCGATGCCTCCTCACCTGCAAAACCCTAGTTTATATGAGGCTCGTCGCTTGTGGTGTTAACCCCTCAAGTGGCAACGTGTGTTTGCCTTCCCTTAAGGATCTTGTTCTATATTGTGTTTATTTTGAGTCCGACGAGTCCCTTCAGAACCTGCTATCCGGATGTCCGGCGCTTGAGTATTTGACGATCATATTAAACAGGGATATGGTTTATTGTAATGTATCTTCGCCTAAAATGAAAAGGCTCAGGCTTGAATTTGTATCCAACGGCACTACTTGTGGTAGATGCGACAGGTTGGAGATAAACGCCCCAGTACTCAAATATCTCAAGATGGTTAATTCTTTCTTCGAGCATATTAAATGTGGGGTGCTAAACTCCTTAATTGAAGCCGATATCAATCTTGTCAACGACAATAACAAACCGGACTATCTTCTTTATTCTCGATCCCTGATGGAATTCATTGACAGGCTTCGCAACGTGAAGCGTCTAAAATTAGAACTATCGTATTGTCCAAAGGTATGCTTTCGATCTTCAATTAGCTCGTTGTCCGTTTCTTTTGTTAATGGCATTCGATCTTATACTTCTTCCTGCGTGCATTGTGCATTTCTTTACAGATTATTGATTCCGTAGTCTATGATCGGACGACAAGTTTTTGTAACTTAACCAGACTCAAATTGACTGCTGATATCCGTTTCATCTCAATGTTCCTAAAAAACGCTCACAATCTTGAATTCATTGATTTATCTGAGGTTTGTTAATGCAATATATAAATTCGTAGCTTTCGTCTTTCATCTCTTCTATACTGTATTAAATAAGGGAGTCTCTTTTTTGGCTTTATTTTTTATTTTTGTTGTCAACAGTTCGGCGAAGAAACCAAAGGTTGGATGGAAAAAGTGCCGACATGCGTATTATCGCATGTTAAAATTATAAAGCTTGTTAACATCAAAGGTAAAAAGCACGAGTTGGGATATATAAAATATCTTTTGAGGAATGCTAAAGTCTTGGAGAGGATGGAAATATCGTATCCCGGATCCCTTGCTTGGGAGGAAAAGATTCATCTACTCCACGAAATCTCATCGTTTCGAAGAGCGTCGGAGGAATGTGAAGTTGCCTTTGAATGACTGCAAAATCCTATGGCAATTCATTGGGAAAATAACAGTTTATATCCCTAAACTTTACCACAAAGTATAGGTTAAATTTTTTTAAACTAATAAATTTGTAACTCCCGAAGTTACGTTACTTTATTTAATATATTAATAGTATTAGTTTAAGAATTTGTATCAACGTTAGATGGTGAAAGACTCAAGAATTGAAAAAATGCAATCAAGTTGTTTAATTTTATCATATTGAATTTCGATATTATTATTTTAACTATACCGAAATAAATACCAAAAATGTATATATATTGACTAGCAAGAAATTATTTGAGGGGTCATGAAGATTATATATAAAAGGTTAAATTACAACCACCCCTAAAGTATGGTCAAATTACGAAAAAACCCCTCCTGTTTGGGTAATTACAACCACTCATCAACTATAAATCTTCTTATACGTTCATCCTTGCGGTTTCAAATTTAGTTGAATATTCGAGATTATATGGAATATTATCACTTTTGTACCCGTTTTATCCCACTTCAACTCTACATTTTGAAGCAAGATGATCATAAATTGTGTTTTTTAGCTTGTATATATTAAATTGTGGTGCATCAGAAACTGTATATTTACACAAAACGAGTACAAAGTAGAGCACATTTCACGAAATCTAGATGGTTATGTTGAAATTGACACCATGAGGGTAGAGGTGTAAAAAAAATCATAGTTGATTGGATAGATGTAATTATCCAAACAAGAGGGATTTTTTTCATAAATTAACCATACCTTAGGAGGTGGCTGTAATTTACCCTCTATAAAATAATAAAATAGAAGGCCGAGAAATCAAGATAAGAGGATCAAACCATTTCTTCTAAGGTGGTGTTTGCAAATGCTTTTTGAAAGTGATTATGCGGTTTTTTTTGCTCATAATCTGTTTTTAGGTGTTTGCAAAATCAACTTTTGCTTTTGCTTCTCTTAAAATAATCTGCTTTAAGCTATTTTTTTAAAAGCACCCATAACCCTGCTTTTTCAATTATAGTTCATTTTCCGAAATATTTGCAAACACCCCCAACTTTTAGAAATAAACACTTAAAACTAACTTAAATCACAATCACTAACTTCTGCTTTTAAATAATCATTTGCAAACACCACCTAACTCTTTATCAAATTCATAAATAGTGGTTGATCGTATATTTCATGATAGTTATATGATTTAGAATGTCCTTTCCTATTTAATCCATTCCAATCTTGGAAGTCGTTGCGATCGAATCTATTCATTAAAAAGAATCGATGCAATAAGAAATGATGATTTACCTACCAAAAAGAGAGGTGACAATATAGAATATTTTTTTCATCGCGTTACATAAAAATCACACAAATTCTAGAAAAAGCTAAGTGTATAAAATTGGAATAATTACAGTTTTTGGTCCATATATTTATATTAGGATAAAATGCACTTCAACCCCTATAAATTTATGTGTTTTGCACTTCCCCCTAAAAATAAAAAAATAGATATTCCCCCTTCGAAATATTATATTGATTGCACTTCGCTTCATAACCCTATTTTTGGAGGACACTGTGCAACAAAAATAATATTTTAAAGGGACAACGTGCAAAAAATAGAATTAGTTTTCAGGGACAATGTACAATAAAAATAACATTTAAAGGGGCTACATGCAACAAAAATACTCAATTCCGATGAATAATCCATCTGAGTTTAGCTATCAGGGCAATGTGCAACAAGAATAATATTTTAAAGCGAGACAACAAATTTTGACAAGGTAATTAAGAGCAAGAAGTAGAAATTTACAGGGAGTGATGTGCAATTTTCCCTTTATATTATGCACCAAAAATAATTTTAGCCAAAATGGGGACCGAAAATGAGAGATATTAGAATTTAGACCCTTCAGTTTCAGACCTAAAAGATTCTTCTTTTATATCAAGCATCTTCACTTGAAGTGAATATCTATTATGTCAAGCATTCTTCGTTCTTCTTCAAACCTAGCTAGGGTTTCCCTTCATTTTGCGTTTTTGTAATGGAACATGGCATCATAAAGCGCCAGAAGCATTTGCACGGGGAGCAAAATAAGGTCTCGATTGATGATAGGCTTAGCGATTTGCCGGATTCGGTCCTCTGCCGCATCCTCTCTTTTCTCCGGACAAAAGTTTCCGTAAGAACCAGCATCCTAGCTAAAAGATGGAGGTACGTCTGGTCTTACGTCCCCGATTTATATTTCCGGAACGACAAACAGTATGCCATAACTCGCGTCTTAATGCTACGTAAAGTGCAATACATTACTACTTTTCGCCTCGTCGATGGAGATGGAGATGGCTGCATCTTCTTCAAAGAAAATAAGGAAAAACACGAAACCGACCTCGACAAATACCTAACTGATACATGGATTACCTTTGTCGTCGAGCGCAATGTGAAAAGGCTTCATCTTTCTTTTCGTTCTCGCGATCGCGATCACGATCATGTAATACCTTGTTTACCTGTATGCCTCTTCACCTGCAAAACCCTAGTTGATTTGAAGCTGGAATCCTGTGGTGTCATCCCCACGAGAGTTACCGTGTGTTTGCCTCGACTCAAGAAGCTTCATCTATTGTTCGTTCGATATGAAGCTGATGAGTCCATTCCCCACCTGCTTTCCGGCTGCCCTGTTCTCGAGGATTTGCGAATCGAATTATACCCGAGTATAGTTTACTGCCACGTATCTTCACCTACGGTGAAAAGGCTCGTGCTCAATTTTATAGAAGCGAGCTGCGGTGGCAGAGCTGACAGGCTCGAGATAAATACCCCATCGGTTGAATACCTCGAGATACGTGATTATTTCACGGAGCATATCGAATGTGGGGCGGCGCTAACATCCTTAACTGAAGCAGATATCTGTTTCGAGGACGATTCTTATGTCAAACAAGATTATTTTTATTATTCGCAATCGCTGCTGAAATTTTTCGATACTCTTTGCAACGTCGAGCGCCTAAAATTAGATGTATCGGATTGTCCAGAGGTACACTTTCGATCATTTCATAAGCTCGTGATCGATGACAATTGATCACAAGTAATTATCTTATACAGTATCGATCTGCATTTGTGTACAGATTATTGATTCAGTACTCTCTGCTTGGACTACAAGTTTCCGTAACTTAACCAAACTCGATTTGAAAGCCGATTGTCGTGTTCTCGCAAAGTTTCTCGAAAACGCTGATAATCTTGAAATCCTTAGGTTCTTTGAGGAGGTTTATAGAATGCAATATAAAAGTTTCTTGTTTTTCCTCTTTCGTGTTTTCTTTAATGTCTTACGTAATCGAGGGCTCTCTTTTTTTTTTTTTTTTTTTTGGTTATTATCAGTATAACGACGATGAAGAAAGAAGTGAAGAAAGAAAAGGGTGGAAGGAACGACCGCAACAAGTGGCCGCGTGTCTATTATCACATCTTAGAATCGTAAAGCTCGTTAACATCAGAGGCGAAAAGCACGAGTTGGAAATTATAAATTATCTTTTGAGGAATGCTAAAGTCTTGGAGAGGATGGAAATATCGTATCCCGAATCCTTTGGATCCAACAAAGAGATTAATATGCTAAAGAATATCTCACTTTTCCACCGAGGATCCGCAGTTTGTGAAGTTGCGTTCGGTGGTTCTTGTTGGTGGTAAAGTCCTTCGATATATGACTGTATTGAACGCATCGTTGCTACATAATTGCTTTATGTTACAACCTAAAAAATTAGCCACCTTTACTTCCGATTATTGTTACTAGTTGTCTGTGAAGATTGGCGGGAAATTAGATGCTACACCTAGTTATTTACACTGGTGGATTTGAACCGTTTTTTTTAATGACTCTCGGGGAAGTGTTTCATCTGATTGCCTTTCCTTCATGTGCATTTTTCCTTATCTACAGATTATTGACTCTGTATTCGCTACTTGGATTGTAAGTTTTAGTAACTCGACCCAACTCGAATTGATCGTCGTTTTCGTCTCTACGCTAAAAAAAAGTTCAATTTAACAAAATATTAAATAATAATTATGTACTGTAATATTTGGATGAATTGATCTCTCAAACTATATCTAAAAGAATAAAAAGGTATTGATATACTGACTAATGGACAGATAATTGACAGCACCATGAAAATTGGTTCAAATATGATTTATCCAACGAAAAAAAATAATTATTTTTTAAAGGGTATAACAATATGAATGTGTTTTGTTATTCCAAGTAAATTTCACATAAAAGCATAAATGAAAAAACAACAATCGGGTCATTTTTAATGAAGACTTATCAATTATTAGTATTATTTTCTAAATTATTATTTATTTATTTATTTATTACAATGTACACACGGATAACACACCGCAATACCGCATGTATAAATACCCCACATACAAAAATAATCATCTAGCATATTTTTCTATATCAAAAATGATTTTTTTTTATTAAAATAAATGGGCTCTTCGACATAACCCCCATTACTTTTTTTAATGGGGATAGGTCCAAAATATTTTAGACCATTTGAGAAAAGCCCATGATCCAATTCAGCCATTGTGTTTTCCAGCTTTACCCCCGTCCGCCACCTCATCACAGCTGGGCACGCGCTCCAGCGATTTTTTTCCGTTTTTTTAATCGACTATGAAGCATAGTTAATTAGTCTTAAATCGACTATGCTTCATAGTCGATTAAGGAAATTCTTTATTTTTTTAACTTTTTTTTTGTTTCTAATTTGGTTTTTAAATTTTTTTTTTATTGTTTTAATTTTTTTCTCTATCAGGTTCATTAATGGACAGTCGATTAAAAATTTAACTACTAAAAATAACAAATCACAATTAAAAAAAAAATACAAAATCAATTATATTTAAAAAAAAATACAAACATTTTAATTGATTTATACATTGGAATCAATAAAACAAAAAATCAAAAAAAAAAAAAAATAACAACTAGAGTCGGTTAACCTTAATCGACTACTGAACATAGTCGATTAAGCCTTAATCGACTATTGAACATAGTCGATTAAACCACGTAGTCGATTCAGGGCCCTGCCCGCGCGAATTTTTTTTTTTTTTCTGCGCCGTCTTCCGCCAAAATCCACAAAAAAACCCTAGATATGTTCTTCATCGTCACCACGTCGTCGCCACACCACAGCATCACCATCCTACATCTATATTCTACCTGTTTTTTACGAAGTTCTCGTCGGCGAACTTGGCTCCATAGATCGACTGGCCTCCGGTGCCGTTTCCGGCGGTGAAGTCGCCTCCCTGGCACATGAAGTTGGGGATCACGCGGTGGAAGCATGAGCCCTTGTAGTGGAGTGGCTTGCCAGATCTGCCGACTCCTTTCTCTCCGGTGTAGAGTGCGCGGAAATTCTCGGCGGTCTTCGGAACGACGTCGGCGTAGAGCTCCATCACGACCCGGCCGGCAGGTTGGCGGCGGCGACGGCGACGGTGATGAGAAGATTTGTCGGAGAAAGCAAAAAAAAAAAAAAAAACTAAGAAGACGGCTGAAGAGAAGCAGAAGACGAGAAGATGAGACGACGAGAAAAAAAAGAGAGAACGGCAATGGGTTAGGGGTAATAAGGGTGGTAGGAATTATTCAATAATATTTGGGTAAGATATTACGTAAGGGGGTTTTCTCTAATTATTTCCTTGGAGTGAGTTTTTTCTTAACTCATTTTCATGTAAATGTCCAACCAATTTATTTTAATAAAAAAAATTCATTTTTGATATAGCATGTTATTCTACATAAAAAATGATAAATAAAATAATATTTAAGTAAATCAGTAATCTATATATAATATAAAAAGAGGATCTATGCCCTCAATGATTGACATGTGGCAAATGATGATGTCATTTGTCAAAATTGCTTAGTTGGAGTTCAATTGATTAGGTGGATTCTGCAATTGATTAGGTGGCATTTTTATTTATGAATGTTTTTAAGTTTTTTCCTATTTTACATTTACACAATCATTTAATAATTACCACATGTATATATATTATTTCCAAAGTTAATATTTTATAAATTCGAAATAAAAAAATCTTATTTATATTTTCAGTATTTCAAAATATATTTATTCAAATAAATTCATGAAACTCAATTGTTTTACGAATATTCAAATAATTTTCATAAAAAAATATTTCTTTAAATACTAAAATATTAAAATAAAGGAATATGATGTTGTTGTTGTTGTTTTTTTTTAATTTTCAATATTTTAGAATATTCAAATATCCATTCCACTAAAAATAATAATAAAAAAATGTTTTAGTTTTTAATTGAAGTATTTAATAAATATACACTATTTTTTTATATAATTTTTATTATACCATATTTCAAATTAAAAATAATTATATTATTTAATAAATATGCAATGCACGGTGGATTAATTCTAAATGCAGTAGTTGGTTGTATATTTGGAAAACACTATATAATATATAATATGGTCCGAACTATAAAACGGACTATGCATTATATTTATTAATTATTATTTCAAATAAAATATCAAATCACCAATATAAAGGAATCTTTAATATTCCAAGATTCTATCATATCATCTTTGATTGATTTAATTTATACTTTAATTCAAAATTGAATGGTAAAAAATAAAAATCGTATCTTCATATTTAATGTTTTTATATTGCAATATTTTTTTCCACAAGTTATTATTTTTTTGGGTTGTTTCCTTTATTTGTTTGATTTGATTTCATTTACTAATATATAAATCTTTTAATTTTTTTATTTTTCCATAGAATTAAGTTCATTTTCAATACTATATAAACCCCTCAATGTTCATTTCATTTTTTTCTACCACCATTCGATTACAAAGTGCTCAATGTTCGTATTATACAGTTACATATTACATTTTTTTTTATCATTTCTTATAAATTATTATAAGTATATATGCATAGTTTTATATTCATAATTAATTTTATACATACATAAATATGTTGAAGTCAATACTGATACTGAAAATATGTTGTCATAAATATTTTAAATATGTGCATTTCTCTTCTTTTATTTTGTGTTGGTATTATATATTTATGTATTCATAATTGTTTTATATGTTTCAACTCCATTTTATATTTGTATTTAGTTAAATAATAACATGTCATATGCTTTATGTATTTCTTGCAGATTATTTTCACGAATCCAACTTCGACCATACATAATTCATCAACACGGTTTGCTTACATTTTTTCTTTACAATTATTTATTTTATTACTCAATATTTTCTTATGATATGAATATTTTATAATGTAGTTTTCTGTAGTTTGTTTTGATTTTTTTTTTTTACATATTTGCATTATTAACACAATTTGATATATTATTTTATTTTTTTGGTTATGCAGAAGTGAGAGAAATGGGATCCAAGGGAAGTTTTACTGCGAAATTATTATAGTGAAATTGTGGTAGTTTTACTACTAGGCTTATCTTCCCTTCTTTTTAATAGGTTACAAAAATATGTGAAACTATTTGTCGCACTAATTATTGATAGTAAATAGTTTTAAGATGATATAATATTGCAAGCAATTAATAAAAGTCTTTCGCATATACATTATGTTGTTTGTCTACTAATTCAATTTAAAAGAATCTATTACATTAAATGCCATATTATAAAATTTATTTTGTATCCTTATTCACTCGATACTGTTTCAATGAGAATTACAATTTTCTTACATTCCCTCGACATTCAATCATCGTCTACTTTCTTTTTCTTTTATTTTTGTCATGTTTTTGGTGTATTATTAATTCATAATCTTTGTTTCGTGTAAAATCTTTGTTTGATCTATCTTAATTTTTAGTTATTTGTTTCGTTTTGCAAATATAGATAATGTTTTGACACACAAATGTGTATCGTGCACATATTTTAATCTATGTGAATAAATTATATGTGAATAATTTATAAATTTTATATTTTTTTTTATTATTACATTATTATGTTTTATAAGTATAAAATTATTCTTTATATTAATTTGAAAGATATAATTTGCATAATGACCGGATTTGTTTTACCAACTAAAATAAATGATTGATTCAGATTTTTAGTTTTTAATTGGTTATATTAATGGTAATATTATAATTAATGATTCAATTAACTAAATCTCATTAATAGTTATTGAAAATTATAATAATGGAAGAATGAAAGTGAATGATTAATGTTTGATTTGGATAGTATAATTTTACAGAATTACACAATGTTTCAATCCACAAATTCCGTCTTTTGTTATGTTGTAAATAGTAATACAAACATGTGTTTTTTTTAAGGGGAATCTATATAATATATGAAGACAAAAGCCACAATTAAGGATTGTCATTTCTAATTTTTACCCCACAATTTTCATTTAATTTTCACTTGGCATCATAATTTCTTTTAATTACTACGTATATACCTTTTTGTCCAAGTTTTCATTTTATATATGCAGTTTCTTTAAATATATGCATATCCACGGATACGCTATACCTAAATCAATAAATAAATTATTTTCTATTTCATTTTAACATTTTAATTTATGACTCAAAAAAGAAAGTTTTCAAATTTTTTTATCTATACACATAATTGATTCCTATAACCAATAACCAAAAAATCACTTTCTATAGCCAATAATTTATATCCGGTTTTTAAAATTAAGAATTTGAATTATTATGTTAATAACCAACATTTCCAATATAATATACCAATCACGATTTTCGATTAATTTTTTACTACAATCAATCATCAATCAGTCCATAAATTTGAGCTATTAATTCCCTAATTATGTTAAATTGTTAATATCAATTTATAATTTAATTGCCTAACATGTATAAACCTGAAAAGATCTTTTTACACCACATCTAAAAAACACTATAAATACTCCATTATTTTCACTCATATTTTTATATCGCCGGCTCATAACCCATCGGTTTTTTTTTGTTTGCTTTGTTTTCATGATTTATTCCCCTATTTTTTTCTCAATCGAATTTTTATTTGTTCATCCTAAGAACATTAATTGGAGTTCGATGTTATTTCTTTTTTCTTGATATTAATTTTCATTATTTGTTGTTATTTTTTTTCATTCTTCTAAATTTGTTTCCATTTCATTATGTCTTTCTTATTTTTCGTAAAATACGTATTGTGTAGGGATGGCAATTTGACCCGCCCCGATGGATCCCCACCCCGCCCCGCCCCGAAAAGAAATGGGGCGAGTATGGGGATTGAATTTTTTTTTTACCGGGTATACGGGGATGGGTTTACCTATACCCGCCCCGTACCCGTCCCCGTACCCGTACCCGCCCAGCATTATTTATATATATAATATATATTTATTAATTATTATATTAAATATAAACAATTAAATAATAGTAATATATTAAATATTAACTATAAATGAGGATTTAGGTTTCGATTATATAATTAAATATTAGTATTATAATTAAATATTAGTTTATTTATTGAAATAAGCCTTTAAATTATAAGTAGATTGCATATTTATTTATTGAAAAAAAAAGGAAAAAAATGGATGGGGATTTTTACCCGCCCCGATACCCGTGGGGATTTTATGGGGCGGGTATGGGGATTCTTTTAATACCCGTGATGATTTTTGACGGGGATGGGAATTTCCAAAGCGGGACGGGGATGGAGATCGCAAACGCCGCCCCATTGCCATCCCTACTATTGTGGTTTGTAAATATCATAATATTCCGTTATTATTTTTATTGTTATTTATTGTGATTAGTTATTATTTTTATTCTTATGTTATTATTGATATTTTTTCTTCATTGTTATATTATTTTTATTATTGTTGATGTTCATTTTTTATTGTTAATCATTGTTATTCTTTTTCCATTTCTTCTTTTGTTTTTCAGAATCTCGACAAGGTGTGTAATACACAAAGCTAATCATTAATAACTCGACAATGAGTTGGTTTACATCGACAATGATATATCCTGACACAAAGATTATTCAATTGAAAAGTGTGGTAGACAAACTGTGATTCAAAATATTTATGCATTATATTGAGCTTTGTAGTGTGTTTTTCACATAGGTCGGATTTTGGTAATTTCAAATGTTTATACTTATATCAAGCATTGTAATTTAAACATTTCATGTCGTATGCAAATTTCTCCTTTGGCGATGCAAGATGCATCGTAAACATGCAATTTTGTATAAGTTTCCAACTCTATTATTATATAAAATTTTCGGTTATGAATAATCAATTATCGTAAAGTTTGGACATGATTTCAAAAAATATTATATTTTTCGTCAATTATTATTTAAATATATTATTGTGTTTATTTGTTCCATATTTGTATTTGTTAATGATTAACTAATAATCTAATATCGACACTTATCAAATTTCTTTATTCATTCGAAATGTCGGATTTGGTTATCATTTTTGGTTTGGCTAAAAGTTTAACGATCGATGTATATTAAATGATTATTTTCTTATCAACATGTAATTTACTTAATTATCATGTACACTTCAAGTATAAAACTCTTATCCCTTAATCACGATTTGAGATTATTCTATCATTTTTACGATTTAATGCATGTGCATTGCATGTATGGTGAGGTTAGTTTTAATGCATGTGCATTGCATGAGTGGCGGTATGAGTATCATTACAATTAGTATTTATATCATTAGTATATGTGTTAATATGAGTATATGTATCAGTATTTGCATTAGTATAATATTAATTAATATTATTATTATTATTATTATTATTATTATTATTATTATTAGTATTAGTATTTGTATTATTATTATTAGTATTAGTATTAGTATTAGTATTAGTATTAGTATTAGTATTAGTATTAGTATTAGTATTAGTATTAGTATTAGTGTTAGTATTAGTGTTAGTATTAGTGTTAGTGTTATTGTTAACATTAGTATAATATTAGTATTAATATTGATATTGGTATTGGTATTAGTATTAGTATAAGTATTAGTATCATTATTAGTATGTGTATAAGTATGTGTATTAGTATTAGTAGTAGTGTTAGTAATGTGTTAGTATTATTATTGGTAATAGTATTAGTGTTAGTAATGCGTTAATATTATTGTTAGTATTAGTGTTAGTATTAGTATCAGTATTAATTTTAGTATTAGTATTAGTATTAGTATTAATTTTAGTATTAGTATTAGTATTAGTAGTATTAGCATGATTATTAACATTAGCATTAGTATTAGTATTAGTATATACTGTGAAACACTACTTTAATAATTAAATTTCTGTTAAGGATCCAAGTGTATTTGATGAGGTAGTAGTACCATTTGGGTCAGATAATATATCCTATTTTTTATATCACAATTTTTGCATTTTATATTTTCTTTTATTATTTTTTTTATATCGTTACTTAAATCAAATGGAATTGCTATTGTTTTTAAAAAAATAGATCATATCATATTATAGATCAACTATTCAAAGTTTTCGTTCTATTATTTTATCTAAAACATATTTTTCATTTTTTATATTACCCTTATGCATCGCATTAACGTCTTTTTTTTATTTTAAAAGGTGTTTGATTTATCTCACGAGCGTGTTTTAGTCATTAAAAAATTGTAATTAGAATTAATCTCCGTGCATCGCACGGGTGAATTACTAGTTAATCGAGTATTAGATAACCGGGATAGTGCTGTACAGTATTGTGTCTAATTTGGGGGAAAATCAATTGCCAATTTCAGACCTAAAAAGCTTCTTCATTTTCGATCAAACATTCATCCAAAATCCATTCTTTTAGAAATCAGAAATCCCTTTTCTTTTGATATGGAGATTGCGGAAGAGCACAGCAGACGGCGCCATAAGCGTTCGAACGGTGAACAGAATAATGCGGTCTCAGTTGATCGACTCAGCGATTTGCCGGACTCAGTCATCTGCCACATTCTCTCTTTCCTCCCGACCAAATTCTCCGTAAGAACCAGCATTCTAGGTCAAAGATGGCGGTTTCTCTGGACCTACGCCCCCAATTTACTTTTCCACAACGAGAATCCAGGTACCGTAGACAGGGTTTTATCGCTGCATAAACTGCAAGACATCAACACTTTTCGACTCACTGAGTGGAACGACTGCAACCTATATGAAATCGGGGCATGGATTACCGTTGCCGTTCAGCGCAATGTGCGGAACGTTCATATTGATCTTAATTTTCATGTCGATTTGCCTCGATGCCTCTTCACCTGCAAAACCCTCGTTGATTTGAGCATCGAGTTTTACGGCGCCGTCCCCGATGTAGGCATTGCCGTGTATTTGCCTCGACTTAAGAAGCTTCGTCTAATCCATGTCGACTATGAGGGTGACGAATCCCTTCCACACCTTATTTCCGGTTGTCCGGTTCTCGAGGAATTGCTGATCCATTTATTCGCCGGTTATTATCCTTTTAAAATATCCTCACCCACTGTCAAAAGGCTTACGATCAATTTCCATTCCGATGGTGAGGGATCGGACAACCACGAGTATTACGACAGGTTGGAGATAGATACGCCCGGCCTTGTTTATCTCCGGTTGATTGATTGTGCGAACCAGCATATCAAATCTTGGGCGCTCGACTCTTTAACTGAAGCAGATATTCATATTTGCAATGATTTCAAGCCACGAGACGATTTTCGTTATTATCGATCTGTGGTGGACTTTTTTGACAGGCTTCATAACGTTAAGTGCCTGAAATTAAATTTATCATGTTGTACAGAGGTGTGTGCATGTGTTTTGCATCCCTTTTCAGCTCATTGTGTATTTTGCTTTAGTGATTATAATCTTATACTGTCACTGCGTTTGTCTTCCTTCCAGATTATCGACTCAGTATTTACTACCTGGGAAATTAACAGTTTTCAAAGCTTAACCAATCTCGAATTGATTACTGACTGTTGTTTTCTCTCCGAGTTCCTTGAAAACGCTGATAATCTTGAAATCCTTATTCTCTCGAAGGTTTGTTGATGCAGTTTTTAACTTCTCTCTCTCCCTCTCTGTTTTTTTTTATTGTCTTCTTTTAGTGAAAGCCCTTTTTTTCGTTGTTATGATTAGGTTCGCAACGAAACAAAAGGATGGACGGAACCCCAACAAGTGCCAACATGCCTATTATCTCATCTTAGAACTATAAAGATTGTTAACTTCGTAGGTAAAGATTACGTGTTTGAGATTATTAGATATCTTTTGAGGAATGCTCAAGTCTTGGAGAGGATGGAAATAGCATACGGCTCATCCCTTAGTTCCGATGAAAAGATTTATGTGCTCGAGGAAATCTCACGTTTTCAAAGAGGATCCAAGGAATGTGAGGTTGTTTTCATTTCTAAATGGTAAGGGGCTGCAAAATCGTAACTTGTTAAGTCTATTGAACAAACACTGTTATCATATCAAAGCTGATGTCTTTTTGGCTCGGGGAGTTGGTAATATGACTAATAATGGATCTCAATTTTGTTTCTTGCATCTGCACCCAAAAATGAAAAAAGACTCAAATGTCCATTTTTAGTTCGATAAATGATTTTAGCACCTGACTGTGATTTATTATCTCTGAACCACCCTTATTTGTATATGTTCATCTTCTTGAAATGTAGAGAACGAGTTCTGCTCTGGGGATAGCTATAACGTAGTCGAGGGGGAACAAAAATTACTGTTTTTTTTGGTGAAAAGTGAAAGAAATCGGGGTGTTGGGATCGAAGTTGCAGTTTCAGGGGGTACAAATGCAGGGGCAAGTTCAGAGAAGGCTGCTTTTTGAAGGTACTTAATGAGGTTGATATGATTGTGGCTTATCGTGTTGTGAAAATCGCAATCAGCTTCATATTTTTGTTGCGTCCTGAGAATAGTATGTATGTATGCATACAATCTTTTGATTGGTTGTTGCATTAAGAATGATTCTAGGAAGGAAGCATCGGCATAGCACAAGTTGAAATTGCTGCCAGCCCCGATAAGGCTAGTGATGCCAGTATTAGTCCTAGTGCCTACATGTCGGGCAAAAGATGCTGGAATTGCTCGTATGTGAAATTTCTATAAATTAATAGACGAGACTAACAAAATTTTATTAATTTAATAAAATTTTAAATAATTAATAGTTATTGGTTATAGAATTTGTGTCAATAGTTTTAAATGGTGAAGGTAAGGCTAGTGATGTGGCTATTGCCCGACGTGAGTGGCACCAGAGGACTGCGAGGCTACTAATTAAGGTAAATTGTTTTCGAACTTGGTTCCATTACACAAAATAAATGGAGCGTAAACGAGTTTCCCGTGATCAAATTGAAGTTGTAAATTTATTCAAAGGTGTTTAAAATTAAAATTTATAAATAACACTTAATATAAAAGTAATGGACTACAGGTTATAAGGGTTCTAGGGCAGTGCCCCCCCATTTATTTCTTTTACTATATATACTCACAAAATAATACAATTGAGTAAAAGTTTCAAAAGTAATAAGATCATTTGCAAATTTGGGGATAACTTTTGAAAGATTTTGAGAGAAAATTGATGTAAAATGTTAAAAGTGGCAGATGTGTTTTTTCTTGTGTGGAAATCAGACACATCAGATTGAAATTAGTACAAAAAAATTCCGCTTTTTTAAGTGCAAAACCAATTCGAATTATGTTCCAATGCAAATCGAAAAAATAAAAAATCGGAATTTTTAAAATTAAATTATGAGTAACCGAAAATATTTTAACCCTTTCAAATTAATATATATATATATTATAAACACCTTGGACTATGTGAAGACCGAAGAGTCACAGTCTCAAGGCTCAATAAAGTATTATAATATGCATGCATGCATGGAGTTGGGATGCGATGAGACGTTGTAGCTTTTCTTAAAGGAGCGAGAGAATCACAACATCTCTGCTAGAAGATTATCAGTTATGTTTTATTTCTTAACTATTCTTGTAATGAATAATCTAACTAAAAATATTTATATATTATCATTCAATTTAATATCATGTGCGAAGAGTCGCACATACATTCTTCTCAAGAGTCGATCAATATTGAATGCGAGGGATACGATGAGACGTTCATTTATGGCTTCCTTAAAGGAGCCAGAAGAATCAATACAGTGTGTCTTCCTTCCAACCCAGAAACCCTAAATTTATGTTGTCTTCTCTTTCAATATTGTAGGTCTTATGGATAATATGGTGATCACTATTGATAACGATAGACTCAGCGAGTTGCCAGACTCACTCCTAACTCACATCCTCTCTTTTCTGCCGACGAAACTCTCCGTAAGAAGCAGCATTCTCGCCAGAAGATGGAGGTTTCTCTGGACTCAAGTCCCCACTCTAGATTTCGACAAGGAAGACGAGGACTTCATCCCCAGCTTTATCTCACTACATAAATTGCCAACCATCAATACTTTTCGCCTCACTGCAAAGGAAAACTACAACTTTAGGTATTTCAACGACGCGTGGATCAAAGCTGTCATTGATCGCAAAGTCAAAAACATCGATCTTTCTGCCTTCAAAGCTATCTTGTTGCCTGCGCTCCTCTTTACCTGCAAAACCCTAGTTGATTTTAGGCTAGACTTTTACTTTGTAGTACCCGGTACGGGATGCAACGTGTGTTTGCCTTGCCTGAAGATTCTTCATATAAACTCCGTTATATACAAGGATGTCGATGAAACCCTAGTGCACTTGCTATCGGGTTGTCCGGTGCTCGAGGAGTTGGTAATCGGATTAGTAACTCATCATAATTTGGTTCCTTGTAATATATCTTCGGCCACATTGAAGAGACTCACTGTACATTTTACGTTCTTCAGTCACGTTACTTTGTTCTACAAACATCACTACAAAGTAGAGATAAATACCCCGGCACTTGAATACCTTCGTCTAGTTGATTGTTTATCCGAGCATATCAAATGTGGGGCATTGGCCTCGTTAACTGAAGCAGATGTTTATCTTCACAACACTTACAAGAAGCAAGACGATTCGCGTTATTCTCAATCTGTGTTGGAGTTTGTTGATAGGCTCTCCAATGTCAAGTACTTGAAGTTAGATTTGTCGTATTGTACCGAGGTATATACATGTGCATTTCGATCTTTCGTCAGCTCATTTTTCAGTTTCTTTAGTAATTATAACTGAGACTCTTTTTTGTTTTTTATTGCAGATTATTGATTCCGTATTTTCTGCTTGGATTGTGAATTTTGATAACTTGATCAAACTTGAGTTGACTGCCGATTGCCGTTTTCTCACAAAGATCCTCGAAAATGCTGATAATCTTGAAATCCTTGTTTTTTGGGAGGTTTGTTAAATCTAATTAAATTAGAAAAAGTATTTCGTTGCGCTATTGTTATGTCTTCCATATTGTGTTATATAAGTGTGTGTGTGTGTGTGTGTGTGTGTGTGTGTGTGTGTGTGTGTGTGTGTGTGTGTGTGTGTGAGAGAGAGAGAGAGAGAGAGAGAGAGAGAGTCTTATATATATTTCTATTCTTGGTTTCGATGAACAGTTCGGTGAAGAAATAAAAGAGTGGATGGAACCCGAACAAGTGCCGACATGTCTGTTATCAAATCTCCGAACCATAATGCTTACCAACATCGTCGGTACAAAGCACGACTTTGAAATTGTGAGTTATCTTTTGATGAATGCTAAAGTCTTGAAAAGGATGGAAATAGCATATCCCCTATTCCTTGGTTCCGATGAAAAGGCTTGTGTTGTCGAAGAAATCTCGTCGTTCGAACGTGGATCGGAGGCATGTGAACTTTCCTTCGCTGAGTTTGTTTAGTCGTGGCGCAATTTTAATTTATCGGAGTCTTCTCTTGATGTTTTTTTAATTACAGTGTCATCTGTCTTTAATTTTTGTTTACTATTGTGACATTTAATATCGTACCGATTTTGCAATGTTGAAAGATTGTTTTGCAAGTATGTTGACAGTTCTCTTTAAATTTATGTTTATACATTTTTATTACTAAGCATCTCCGGTTTATTCGAGTAACAGTGCAAAACGCGTGTATAATAAGCTCGTTGCACACAATAAATTATAATTTTTTTGTCCAAATTCGGAAATGATTCGATATTTTGGATTATTTTCCGATTTTCCCCGAAATTTCTGCCTTTTTTTTTAATTTAATATTTCACACAATTGTAAAACTATACTACAAGTCTAACAAAATACAAACCAAAGCATCAACACGTCTAGTGCAAGTAAGCAGTAATGTTATTCTGAAAAAATAAAAAAGGTTAGGGTTTGAGTTAATTTGCAAGAGATGATACGAAATGGGCTAGCTTGGTTTTAGTTAATCGGGCCTTGGATCATAAAATCATATTATGTTAATTATAAAATATAATTTATTTTGTGAAAAATTGGATAAATATTCGGAACTGAATCATCAGAATTTCCAGGAATTATATATACAATTCCGATTCGGTTCCAAACAAGGTCGGAGAAATCGGGATTCAGAACTTCAAAAATCAGAATGAAAAAAATGGTTCCAAATTCATTTTTTTCTGGATCGAAATCGTCCGAATTTTTGGGGGAAAGAAACGTAGTTGCTTAATCAGCGCCACCCTTCAGTTTCAAACCTAAAAGATTCTCATTTTCCATCAAGGTTCTTCTCCGAAATGGAGATAACAAATCAGTACACCAGACGGCGCCGGAATCTCTCGCCGGACAGGCTTACCGATTTGCCGGACGCAGTCCTGTGTCACATTCTCTCTTTTCTCCCGACCAAATTCTCCGTCAGAACCAGCATTCTAGGTCAAAGATGGAGGTATCTCTGGTCTTTTCTCCCCAATTTAGTTTTTGACTGCAAAGAACAACACACCGCCATAGATAGGGTTTTACTGCTACACAAACTGCAAAAAATTGATACTTTTCGCTTAGCTGATGGAATTGAATGCTGCGGCAATCAAATTGAGGCATGGGTTACCTTTGCAGTTGACCGCAATGTGCAAAGTCTCGATTTTTATTGCCGTCCGTATGACACTGCTCTGCTTCGTCGCATCTTCACCTGCAAAACCCTAGTCGATTTGAGGCTCGATTCCTGCGGTGTCGTCCCTAATATAGGCGGTGGTGTCGTGTGTTTGCCTCGCCTTAAGAAGCTTTGTCTAATCAATGTCCATTACGAGGGCGACGAATCCCTCCCGCACCTTCTCTCCGGCTGCCCGGTGCTCGAGGAGTTGGAAATCTATTTATTCATCCATTCTTGTCATTGTAAAATATCTTCACCCACAATCAAAAGGCTCGTGATCAATCTTCGTTTTGATGGTAAGGCATTTAAGTACCTAGAGAACAAAAATAACAGGGTGGAGATAAATACCCCTGCCCTTGTTTATCTCCGGTTGGTTGATTGCGCGGTCCAATATCTCAAATGTGGGGCGCTAACCGTCTTAACTGAAGCGAATATCGATATTCGCAATAATCGCCACCCGGAAGACTATGTTCTTTACTCTCGATCTGTGGTGGAGTTTATTGATAAGCTCCACAACGTCAGCTGTCTAAAATTGAATTTATCACGTTGTGTGGTGTGTTTTCGATCCCTTTTTTCAGCACATTTGTATATTTCTTTAGTGATGGTGTAGTCTTACACTGTCGTTGTGTTTGTCTTCTTTTTCAGATTACTGACACGGTATTCTCTACCTGGAAGATTAAAAGTTTTCGTAACTTAACCAAACTCGAATTGATTGCAAATTCGTGTTTTCTCCCGAAGATTCTTGCAAACGCCGATCATCTTGAAATCCTTATTCTTTATGAGGTCTGTTGACGCAATTTTTAACTTTTCCCTCTCGTTTTGATTTTTTTTTTTTAATTATTGTCTTGCGTAAGTGAAAGCCCACGCTTTTTTTCGTCTCTTGGTGGTGTTATGAGTAGGCTGTCGAAATAATAAAAGGCTGGACGGAACCCCAACAAGTGCCAACATGCCTATTATCACATCTTAGAACTGTAACGCTTGTCCACTTCGAAGGTCGGCACATGTTTAAGATTATGAGATACCTTTTGAGGAATGCTAAAGTCTTGGAGATGATGGAGATAGTATATCCGAAAATCTTTGATTCCAAGGACAAGATTTATACGCACGACGAAATCTCGCGGTTTGAACGAGGATCCAAGGCATGTAAACTTGCTTTTATTTCTAAATGGTAAGGGGCTCTGCAAAATCATGAGTTGTTAAAGTCTACTGATGTTTATATTAAGTAAACTCTGTTACGATAGCAAGGCTGATGAGTCTCTCTTCGTTGAGTCGAGGAGTTGGTAAGCTGAGAATTAATGGATCTCAATCTTGTTTCTTTTACCATCTCTGAGATATGTTTACTTGTATTTGTTGATCTTCGTGCAATTAATGGCTCTGTCGTGAAGGTACTGAATGAGCTTGGTACGATTGTGGCTAATCTTCTCGTGAAAATTGCAATTAGCTTGATTTTTTTGTTGCGTCTTGCCAATAGTATGTGTACTACAGTCTATTGTAGGTTGTAACTGCTTCAGACGAACAAAAATGTATTGAACCTCGTATATTATGGCTGCCTTATGAATGTTTTTGTGAAGGGATTCCAGGGTTATTTCCTTTGGTGATGTTTGTGCTTCCATTTACATATCTATTGAATGAAGTACAATGTGAAACTTGTCAAATAAAGGGTTACGTATATTTTGCCTCCCGAACTTTGACTGTTTTTGCATGTTGCCTCCCAAGTAAAAAAAATAAAAAATTTGGACAATCATAACTGAACTAACTAATTTGTTGCACTGGTGACTTAATATTCATTTTTGACAAAAATATTCCCTGAGATGCAAATGTGCAACTCACTCGTGAGAATAGAGGGGCAAATTCACCAACTAATTCATGAGTTTTTAGTAATTAGTAAAGAGATAAAAAGTAAAAAAATTGGTCGGCTTCCTCTCTCTCGGCAGCCGAAACAGGGTAGGTTTTCACCTCTCACAAATTAGAGACCACCAACACCCTCTGCTCCGCCGCCACACCAAATCAGAGGTGAAAACGATGTGGTGGTGGTGTATTATTTTCTCGGGAAAAATCAGTGTTCTACAAATCGGCCGAGGCGGCCCATTAATCGGTCTCCGAAGTGGAGCCAGTCCAAAATCTTTGCTATTTTGGTGTAAAAGTTTGGAAAATTGAGTATTAGGCGGTCTGAAGCGGGTCAAACTTTGGGGGCAAAAATCGGTCAAAAATCGTTTTTTTTTTTTTCTTTTGAAATTAAAAAAACTATATAAGATAAAATATTTTGACATATGGAGATTCCAATATATAATTGGGCCGACTGTTGAGTTCAAAGTGTATTCTGACTTCTGATACGATGATATAAAAAATGGAGTGATAATAATTTAATAATTCTGTCGATCAGCAGAGAATCTTGTTCTCCTTCGAACCCAGAAATCCCCTTTTCTCCAATTAGGTTATGGAGACAACTAAACAATACAGCAGAAAGCGCCGGAAGCAAAATGCAATCCCAATCGACAGACTCAGCGAGTTGCCGGACTCAGTCCTCTGTCACATTCTGTCATTCCTCTCAACTCAGGAATCCGTCGCCACCACTATTTTAGCCAAATCATGGAGGTATCTCTGGACCTTCGTCCCCAATTTAATTTTCCACTTCGAGGATTCAGACACCATAAATAGGGTTTTATTGCTGCGTAAATTGCAAAAGATCAATACTTTTCGCCTCAATTATGGGGTTGACTGCAACGCCTATCAAGTCGATACATGGATTACATTTGCCGTCGAGCGCAATGTGGAAAACGTCGACATTTATCTTAGTTTTCATGTCGATTTGCCTCGTTGCCTCTTCACCTGCGAAACCCTAGTCGATTTGAGTCTCGAGAATTGCGGCCTCGTCCCCGATATAGGTAGTGCCATTTGTTTGCCTCACCTGAAGAAGCTTCATCTAATGTATGTTGGATATGAGGGCGAAGAGTCCCTCTCGCACATTGTTTCCGGATGTCCGGTGCTCGAGGAGTTGCTTGTCCAATTGTACGTCGAGTATTCTTCTTGTAGAATATCATCACCCACAATCAAAAGGCTCATGGTCAATTATCTTTTTGAAGGTGAGAGATACGACAACCGTGACTACAACAAGATGGAGATAGATACACCCGCCGTTGTTTATCTCCAGTTGCTTGATTGCACGAAGCAGTATATCAAATGTGGGGCGTTGACCTCCTTAACCGAAGCAGATATCGAAATTTTCAATAGTATCAAGCCACAAGACGGGTTTCCTTATTCTCGATCCGTGGTGGGATTTTTTGATAGGCTTTGTAATGTCGAGTGCCTAAAATTAGATTTATCGCGTTGTACTGAGGTGCGGGTTGGATCCCTTTTCAACTCATTTGTTTCTTTAACGATGGCGATCTTATACTGTCCTTTTGTTTGTCCTTCCAGATTATCGACTCGGTACTCTCTGCATGGACTATAAGTTTTCATAACTTAGCGAAACTCGAATTGAGTTCTGATTGTTGTTTTCTTTTGAAGTTTCTTGAAAATGCTGATAATCTTGAAATCCTTATTCTCCGGGAGGTTTGTTGAGCGACAAAATATTTTTACCTTTTTATATTTTTATTTTTATGACTTCTTTACTGTCTTACGTAAGTGAGAGCATTTTTTTTTTCTTTTGTTGTTCGTTATGATCAGGTTCATGAAGAAATGAAAGGCTGGATGGAGCCCCAACGAGTGCCCGCGTGCCTATTATCACGTCTTAGAATTATAAAGCTTGCTGGCATCAAAGGTAAGAAGCACGAGTTTGAAATTATAAGATATCTTTTGAGGAATGCTAAAGTCTTGGAGAGGGTGGAAGTAGTATATCCGAGTTCCCGTAATTCTGTCGAGAAGATGTTTATGATGTATAAGCTCAAGGAAATCTTATTGTTTGAACGAGGATCGAAGGCATGTGAAGTTGTTGTTTCTAAATTCTAATTAGTAAAGTGTAGCTGCATTAATCATAAGTTATACAGTCTTGATGTCTATATTGCATGACCTGCAAATTCAAAATCTTTGCTTTGAATTTTTGTTACTATTTTGCAATACAATCTCTGTACTGGGTTTTGAATGATCGAAATGTATAGAGCTTTTACTAGGTTTGTTCCTATTGTAACGGCTTCAAAAGAACTAGTTTGATACTCCCTCCATTCCTTATTAATAGTCGTTTTTAGCTTTGCACAAGTATTAATAATCTCAATAAACGTGTTTTAGTTTTAGGGAAAAAAAATATTAAAAAGACTAAAATAACCTTGACCGTTTAATGACGTGATAAGAGAGATTTTTAATGTTTAAAGTTGAATTAATAAGGTCAAAAGAGGGAAAAAAAAATGCATAATGCATTTAATGCGGAAAAAATGCATAATGCATTAAATCCAGTATTGAAAATCTAAAGTGACAAATAATATGGAACAAATATGTTTAAAAAGAGAGTTATTATCGAATAGAAAGAGTATTTACTATTTAGTATTAAGGTTAGACAACGAAAAATGTATGTTTATGCGCTGCTGTATTTGAACATAGGATTGTTTATACGAATTTGAAATAATTTAATATTTTTCAAATTGTTTATTGATTAACAGTTGAAACCTGAATGATATCTGGTGTCTACTGAGAATTCTTGTGAATAATAAATATTAATTAGAAAACAATTATTAAGCGTAATACTACATATTATAGAAAGGGTAGATTTGTCAATAAAAAGTCAATACTTTTGTGACATAGTGACGAGTTTTGTAACGGTAGGGACCATTTTATCATATTTGATAGTTTAGGGGGTAAATCCAACAATTTCAATAGTATAGGGGTGATAACTACATTAACCCTATTTAGATTTTTCTTTTTGTCAATTCCGCCCTAATTTTTTGTTCCCCGTGTCACTACAGCAGAGTATGCGCATCTGAGCTGAAGAACACAGAAATTCCCCTCTTTTTTTTTTGTCTTCCCAATTTGTTATGGAGGTAAAAGAACAGTGCAGCAGAAATTACCCGGAGCAAAGTGAGCTCTCAATTGATCGACTCAGCGATTTGCCGGACTCAGTCATCTGCCACATTCTCTCTTTCCTCCCGACCAAATTCTCCGTACGAACCAGCATCCTAAGTCAAAGATGGCGGTTTCTCTGGTCTTACGTCCCCAATTTATATTTCCACCTCGAGAATCAAGGAATCATCAACAGGGTTATGTTGCTGCGCAGAGCGCGAACCATCAACGCATTTCACCTCGACCGCGGCACCGAGTGGAGCGCCTATCAATTGCAGACATGGATTACTTTCGCCGTTATGCGCGGTGTCCAAAGACTCAATCTTTGTCTTCAAGACGAAGAAACTTTCCCCGAACACAATTTACCCGTATCCCTCTTCACCTGCAAAACCCTAGTTGATTTGAGGCTGAGAAATTGCGCCTTAATCCCCGCAAGTGGCGCCGCCGTATGTTTGCCTCGCCTCAAGATTCTTCATCTAGTGTACGTTGAATTCGAGGCCGACGAGTCACTCCCACACCTGCTTTCCGGCTGCCCGGTGCTCGAGGAGTTTGAAATGGCATTGTTGTGTGATATGGTTTGTTGCGGTTTATCTTCACCTACGATAAAAAGGCTCACGCTCGATTTTATAGCTGAGGGCTTTGGCGGTAGACCTGAGAGGTTGGAGATACATACGCCCGCGCTCGAGTATCTCAACTTAAAGGCTTATTTCAACGATCATTTTAAATGTGGTGCGCTAACCTCCTTAATTGCAGCAGAAATAATACTTGTCAATTACGCGGTTCTTGATTTTCCACCGTTGCTAAAGTTTTTTGATAGGCTTTGCAATGTCAAGTCCCTAACGTTAGATTTGTCAGACTGTTCAGAGGTAGGGTTCTCGATCTTTTCTTTTTTCATAAGCACATTGTCCATTTCGTTAGTTACGACAAGTAATCTTACACTTAACTACAGATTATCGATTCAGTACTCACTGCTTGGGCTACACGTTTCCGTAACTTGACTAACCTTAACTTGACTGGTGATTGTCGTTTTCTCTCGAAGTTGCTTGAAAATGCTGATAATCTTGAAATGCTTACTTTTTCTCAGGTTTGTTGACGTGACGCAATATTAAATTTTGTAGCTTTTCCTATCTGATTTTTTTTTTTACTGCCTAACATAAGTGAGATGTTTTTCACGCAGCAATTTTGTGAATTAGAAGAAGGTTGGACTGAAGAACCACAACAAGTGCCGAGATGCCTATTATTACATCTTAGAATTATAAAGCTTGAGGGGATCGTAGGTAAAAGTCACGAGTTTGAATATATAGGATATCTTTTGAGGAATGCTAAAGTCTTGGAGAGGATGGAAATATCGTATAGCGTATCCGTTGGTTCTGAGGAAAAGATTGATATGCTCGAGAAGATTTTACGTTTCAAACGAGGATCAACTGCATGTGAAGTTAATTTTGTTGGCTCTAACTGTAAGTGGTGAAGTAAGTAACTTGATGATGCCTATATTTTGTTGCTGGAGAATTGCGTTATGTTTCATTTTTGTTTGCAATGAACCAGTAGTTCGATTTCTTCAGTTCCAAATGCAATTGAAATTTTGCCTTCTAGTGTCACAAGAAACAGGGGAAAAGGTGAAAACAGGGGACATATATTTGCAGGTCACTCAGAAAAAAATGAGAGATAGTTATAAAAGAATGGGTAAATTACAGCCATCCCTGATGTATAGTCAAATTACGAAAATCCACATCATGTTTGGGTAATTACAACCACCTTCTCAACTATAAATCTTCTTACACGTTCACCCTTGCGGTTTCAAATTTAGTGGGAATCCTATAGAGTTTATGGAATATTATCACTTTGGTGAAATGGGAATCAAATCTAGCACGTGTACTAAAAATTACACACTCATTTGGTGAAATGGGGATAAGGAACTTAGATCACATTGAAAAGTATAAGGTAGTCTCATTCTCAAAAACTGGAGCCTCGTTTCTAAAATGAAAATAGATGCATCAAAAGATCTACAAGCCCGAGTTCGTAAAGAAAATATGAAACAACCGCGCATTTTCGATATAGGCATCGAGGGATTTTACAACCTATGGATACAGCCTGCTAATGCCAACATAACTTCACACGCAGCGGATCCTCGTTGAAAAAGTGAGATCTTCTTTAGCAAATTAGTCTCTTCGTTGGAACCAAGGCATTGTGTATATGATATTTCCATCCTCTCCAAGACTTTCGCATTCCTCAGAAGATATCTTATAGTTTCAAACTCGCACTCCTTACCTACAATCAAGCTTTATAATTCTAAGATGTGATAATACGCATGTGGGCACCTGTGGTGGTAGTTCCTCTCGCTTATGTAAGAGTATACCTAAGAAGAAATGAAAAAGAAAAGCTGCATCAACGAACCTGCCGAAAAATAAGGACTTCGAGATTATCAGCATTTCCGAGGAACTTTAAGCGAAAACGACAATCACCAGCAGCCAATTTGAGTTGGTTAAGTTATGAAATTTCATAGCCCAAACAGAGTACTGAGTCAACAATCTATAAACAAATGCACAAAAGACAGTATATAAGATTACGATCAATAAAGAAACATACAATGAGAGCCGGTGAAAGATCGAAAGCTTATACCTGGGGACAAAATGATAAATCTAATTTTAGGGACTTGACGTTGCAAAGTCTATTAATAAATTCCAGAAGCAATTGAGAATAAAGAAAACTGTCTTGTTCCTCATCTTCGAAAAGACTAATATATGCTTCAACTAAGGAGGTTAGTGGCTCGGATTTCATATGCACGGGTAACCGATGATCAAACACGAGATAACCAAGTGCAGGGGAATTTATCTCCAGTCTGTTAAATTTATCACTACTCTCTCCAAAATTGAGAGTGAGCCTTTTCATCGTGGGTGAAGATATAATACAAGAACCCAAATACGTGAATGAATCCATTACCAACTCCTCAAGCACCGGACAACCGGAAAGTAGGTGAGGGAGGGCCTCATCAGCCTCCAATTCAACGCCGAGCAGACTAATCTTCTTAAGGCGAGGCAAACACACTGCGCCGCCCATGGGAACTACGTCACATGAAACGAACGTCAAATAACAAGGGTTTTGCAGGTGAAGAGGCGCCGAGAAGGTAACGACTCATCATCAAAATAGTTAAGATGAAGTTTTTGTACGTGCGGTCAATGGCGGAGGTGACCCATTTCAGGAGATTATGCTCGTCCCATATCTGACTCACGCACCTCTCGAGGTCGAAAGTAATAATGCTTTGCAATCTATGCCGCAGCATGAACATTTCGACAAAGTCTTGATTTTCCCCAAAGAATTCTATAACGGGGACATCGGTCCGGAGGTACCTCCATCTTCTAGAGAGAACGCTGGTTCTTGCGGAAAACTAAGTCGGCCGGAGAAACGAGAGGATGTGAGTGAGGACCGAATCCGGCAAATCGCTAAGCCTATCAATTGAGGATGGGTTTTGTTCCCCACGCGACAAAGGATTCCGTCGCATTTGGTTGTACTGTTTCGTTACCTCCATAACAAAATGGGGGAATTACAATTTATGGCTGCTAAAATCAGAAAAATTACAAATCCGATTACAGAAAACCTGATGCGCACAATACCAAACAACAGCAAATTTCTGAAAACCAACAGCCAACACCAAACAATTTCTGTTTCTGTACAGCAAAATTTGAATTGAGCACACCAAACAGAAAATAATTATAACATAAGAACACCCATAAATAAATATGCTACCATCGTTATCGCCGCCGTAAAGTATAGTGCCAGCAGAAACGTTAAACAAGGGGAAAAGCCTTCTGCCTTTGTAGTGATGGGGTTTATTCCATGGCGACGTAGTTGGAGAAGGGATAAGGGACGACGAATTCGTCGGCGGAAGAAGGACGTCGGTGCCGGTGCCGGTGCCGGTGCCGGTGCCGGTGCCGGTGAGAGGCTGAGAGCGGCGGAGATAGAATCCTATTGGTGATTGAACAAGTTTTAGATTTTGAGTGTGAACTGTGAACATAAGAATTAGGATAAATTACGAAAAAACCCCGTAATAAGTCCCAATTACGAAAAGGGGCTTACTATTCATTTGCATAGTTACGAAAATCACCTTTAATCAGTGTTTGACCTTTTAAATTCACAGAAAATTTATTTTATCCATTTTAATCTTAAGTTATTTGAAAGAAAAAAAAAACAAATGATAAATTACGAGAATCCCATGTAATAAGTTCTAATTACGAAAATTACCCCATATTTGGCATATGTACTCTTTCCATCCAATTTTTCCGTTAGTGATCCGTTTGTTTGCAGGGTGAAGTAGGAAATATAGATATAAATAAATAATAAAGAAAAAAGTTAACTTGGAAAATTAACATGTGGACTACAAAATGACTTTTTACTTAGTTTCTCTCTCAATCTTACATATATCTTATTAAACTTTTTGGACTTCATTTTTCAATATTTATGAAAAATATATACGAATTTTAATAAGATATTGACAGATGGGGCAGGGCAACGAGGAGGGCACAAATAAAATTCAACATTGTTAACCGAGAATACAATGTCCGTGAAATGGCGTCAAAAACAATATTAAAAAAAAAAAAGTCACCGTAAAAAGAAAAGTAAAAACAATAAAAAAAAAAATCAACGACAATCAACGGTCAGCGGTAATAGTGGTAGAAATCGGGGTAGTTTGTCAAAATTGATTAAATGATGAAATTGGAGTTAAATTACTGTTTAATAAAATTTTAGGGGTTTTTAGAATATTTTAAAAGAATGCAGGGGCCTTAGTGCAATTTTCTCTATGAAAAATCTCAAATTCAGCCATAACTCAACCGTTGACGGTTACTACTTATCAGTCAAGCAGACGGAGGGACTAAATGTGTTAAAATGTGACAATATTAGTGTGTATTTTGTTGACGGTGGTAAATGAGAGACCAAAATTGAAAAATGTGCAAACTTAAGAGACAAAAACTATAATTATTCCTATTTTAATAATTGATTAAATATCTTACGGTACATAAAATACGCAGATATTTTCTGATTCGATAACCATATATATATATTTACTAATATTTTAGTGCGGAATTGGTACAAAAAATCCTACCGCCCAAATCCTACGGGGGCCTTCCTTTTTGAAATACAAGTTGGGTGAGAAAAACCTTTCACCTTCATCCCTAATTGAATTTCTCTAAAGGTAAGAAAATCAATTTTCATTTCAAAATCTCTTCCACCCTTTGAAAACCTGTCTCACTTAATCAGCGCATCCATTTTCTTATGTCCATAATGGAACCGCACAGCAAAAGGCGCCGGAAACATTCGCAGCACGAGGATCAAAATCCGGTCCCGATGGATAGAATTAGCGATTTGACGGAGTCAGTAATCTGTCACATTCTCTCGTTTCTCCGGACAAAGGATTCCGTACGAACAAGCATTCTCGCTCGAAGATGGAGGTATCTCTGGGCTTATGTCCTCACTCTAGATTTGTATTGCGAAGAAGAAACGGTAATCAATCGGGTTTTGTTGCTACGCAAAGTGCAAACGCTTCACACTTTGCGCCTCAATGTCGATGGATGCACCGAATATGGATTGGAGACATGGATTGTGTTTGCCATCACGCACGGTTTGCAAAAACTTGACCTTTATCTTATGGATCAAGAGATTTTGCCCGCATGTCTCTTCACATGCAAAACCCTCGTCGATCTGAGGCTCCATTCGTGTGGGCCCATCCCCATGGATGGGCCCATGTTCTTGCCTCGCCTCAAAAAGCTTCAACTAATCCGTGTCGAGTACGAGGCCGATGAGTCACTACCCTACCTGATTTCTTGCTGTCCTGTTCTTGAGGAGTTGCTAGTCCAATTGTTCACGGATATGGCTTCTTGTAATGTATCTTCACCTACGGTAAAACGGCTCACGGTCGATTTTTACTTTTTCGATGGTGACCGTGCTGGATGCGACATGCTTGAGATAAACACGCCTGCGCTCGAGTATCTTAAGATCGCTTATTCTTTCTGTGATCATATAAAGTGTGGGGTGGCGACCTCCTTGATTGAAGCAGATATCAGTTTTCACGATGAAGACGATAATCTTTCTGCTCGATCTCTGGTGGAATTTGTTCATGTTCTTTGCGCTGTCCAGTGCCTAACATTAGATTTATCGTATTTTACGGAGGTATTGCTTTCGAGTTTTGACCTTTCATGGGGCTCATTGTCTGTTTTTGTTAGTAATGGCAAATCTTTGTACATTTCTTTGCAGATGATTGATCCAGTTCTCTCTGGTTGGACTAAAAGTTTTCGTAACTTAACCAAACTCAAGTTGACTGCCGATTGTCGTTTTCTCTTAAAGTTCCTCGAAAATGCTAATAATCTTGAGATCCTCCATTTCTCTGCGGTATGATTCTTTTTAGCTTTTTTTTTTTTCTGTAATTAATTTCTTACATAAGTGAGGGCCAATTTTTTGTTGGCTTTTGTTGTTGTTAATATCAGTCTTGCGATGAAAAAAAAGGCTCGACGGAACCACCGGAACAAGTGCCCAAATGCCTATTATCACATCTTAGAATAATAAAGGTTGTTAAAATTGAAGGTAAAAAGCACGAGTTTGAAATTATAAGATATCTTTTGAGGAATACTCAAGTCTTGGAGAAGATGGACATAGAATATGCCCAATGCCTTGCTTCCGAGGAAGATATTAGTACGCTCAAGAAGACGATCTCACCTTTTCAACGAGAACGAGGGTCCGCTGCATGTGAAGTTGCCTTTGCTCCGTTTCGTGAAGAGGAGGTTGTTGAAGTGGAGGATGAATAACTATGTGCACATTTATCGGTACTGCGACGTTCAATCTTTACTTCCATTTTTCATTACTATTAATAATGTCATAAAAGAAAACAACAAAGCTTTTTTTTTAAGCGAAACGATGAATTGCGAAAACCTCGAATATTTGCCATTCAACATTGTTTATGCCTTGCCTTGAAGAATGTTGTTTTTTAATTTCTTGAAACCGTAATAATTTCTAATTCGAAACTCAAATTTCAATTCTTTTTTTTTTTTTTTAAAACAACAGCAACTTCATTGATATTATTGAGAATCAGACATTACAATATCCGAAATAGCAGCAGGAAGAACATTTGCTGAGAAAGTAGACATAGATGATAATCTAGCGATCTCATGAGCGGCACGATTACCATCCCTTTTAACATAGCAAACTTCAAATTCTTCGAAATGAGTAGCTAACCTTTTAATGTCAGCTATAAGATTTCCGTAGCTGGTGCGTAACCCTTCCTTGCATCGAATGGCTGCAACTAAAGTGCTTGAATCTCCTTCAAGTACGATTCGGAAAAATTGACGAGCCAGTGCAAATTTCACGGCCTTAAGAGCTGCCATAGCCTCGGCAACAACGGGATCAAGATTTTGTTTGAGGCAATAAGAAAACCAAACAACACACTTACCATTAGAAGTTCTAGCAAGGCCTCCCAAACTACACTTAGATTCCGCCGAACGAAGAGAAGCATCGAAATTGGTTTTGATAGTGTCACTAGGCGGCGCCATCCAACGATTTACACCTTGATGACTAGCAATGGAGCTACTCTGGCCTAACACTACTGCAGAAAATCCCTCGCAAGTCCATAACAAACCTCTTACTAAACATGATTATATCCATTGCCGACTCATTCTCCTCCTCATAGTATCTTTTATTTCTAGCATTCCATAGAGCCCAACAAACCACCACACATTATTCAAATTGTGCTTTATCTTGATCTTTTTTCATCTTGAGCAACCAATCAGTTAAACGAAAGCTCATTCGGTCAGTGAATCGTCCAAGAAACCCCACTCAAGGCCCATACCAGCCTTGCAAACGAGCACAGCGAAATACAATGCAAAACATCTTCATCGCCTTCCTCACACAATTCATATGAACGAGACTCGAGAATTTTTCGCTTAACTAAATTCGACCGTGTAGGAAGGAGGTTTCTACAGCTACGCCAAAGAAATATTTTAATCTTGATCGGTAAACTCAGATCCCACAACCACTTCCAGGGCTTAGAGAAAACTGAGGACTAGCTATTAGAAGAATCCGAACCCACTCTCTCCAACTCTATTTGAACAGCAAGATGATAAGCGCTCCGCACAGAGAATTCTCCGTTTTGATTAAAGTGCCAAATGATTGTATCTTCGTTGATGGGACTAGTGATGGCAACGGGTCGGTTCTGGGCCGGGTTTGCCTAAACCCAAGACCCGACCCACGAAAAATATATAAACCCAAGACCCGCCCCAACCCGCTTTAGCTTAGACCCAGACCCGCCCCAACCCAAACCCTAACTAAACGGTTCCGACCCGCCAGACCCGCTAGACCCGCTAGACCCATTAACATACAAAAAATTTAATATTTTTTAACTTTCATAACATTTTGCTTGTATATTTTTACGAAATAATCTCAATACTAAAATACAATATTTTAAAAAATCTTTACAAGTGACATAACATGAACAATAAAATTACAATTAATTATATTTAACTTCGATAATAAGTAAAATTCAAAATGCAAGACAATTAGCGGTGGTCGACAAGTAATAAATATTACTCAAGAGAAATGAGATTCGAAAAATAAAATAGTGAAAATAGGTAAATGAGAATAGACAAGATGGAAATTGATAGTTTGATAAATGAAACTA